TGCAGCGCGGCAACTGCCCGCACATGGTGGAGTCCACGGCCCTGCTTACGGCAGCGGTGCTGAGCGACGAGGAGCTGATGGTGAACACGAAGGCGACCGGGGTCGATAATGTGACGGCATCGTCGGCTTACGCCGTAAGAGCGGCCTACTCAGCAGCGTTCAGCAGGTAAGTGTGACGCTATCGATTCCAAGCACCAGACCTGTTTTATGCCTGTTTTACCCTCTATACCGCACCACCCCTAGCCCCTCCCCCCATTCCATTACAATTACATTGCAAGGCCCAGGCCTGGCTCGGCCGCTTCCTACCAAGCGCTGAGCTGAGTGCGCTATTGTGACGGACCAAAGTTTCGGCCTTCACCTTGAACCTTTGCTGATGAGCGGACGGCTCCACTCTCCAGATTCGTCACCGGTTTGTTGGACGGCCACCAAGACAAGCAGCGCAAGCAGAGCATGTACTCCCTTGCCAGGACCATCGGTCTCCCGGCTACTTTCGTTGAGCTGAGGCACCAGTCGACACATGAACAGCTACCCTCCTTGGCCAAGCTTCGCTCTGCAGCCAAGAAGGCACTACGGTGGATTTGGGGATACTACTGGAGACACTTGGCTGGTGATGACCTGCTGTCTGAAACGTGTGAGGATGCTCTACTGCGCTACCTGCGGGAAGAAGGGGATCATGATCCTGATGCCGACAGGAGAGGCCGCCTTGCATTGGAGAGGCGGTGGGACGTCGGCACCCTGCTCAGCTGCCTCTCTCGCCTGCAGGGCACGCTGCCAGGCAACCAGGCATATGTTAAATGCATGCGACTGTCGCGGGAGCTCGTGGAGGCAGAGGAGGAGGAGGAGGATCAGGAACCGCCCCAGCCATTCCCTCCGGCCGCTGACCCAGCATCGGTCCCCCAAGACGGTGCGACAGCCACCGGCTGGGCGGTATACCAGGGAAATTGGAAACCGAAGCCAATTGGCGCCGTGTAAAATATATGATACCCATAAATATTCCCACGTAGCATGTGAGATGACTGCTTGTTTAGCCTTCTCTTCTGCAAGTGAGGTTATCACGTGCATCCGGTTATGACTTTGCTGTTCTGGAATCTGCCCTTCTACACTGCGACGCTCGCCGTCGTCGATGTTACAGTATCGGTTTCGTAAACAGGAAATAATAATGTTATGAGCATGCTGCCATGGGCGTTGTTTTCTTGCGATTTTGGCTATTTGCTCCACCGTAACTCCGCGTTTGGGCTTCCACCAACCAACGTCATGACATTACACCATAGGTGATTTGTAATTATGCCAACATTGAGCATCGTCAACCACCATCCTGCCATTCTCGTAGAGTGATGAATCGCCTCGCACTACGAAAATTCCCTCTAAGACGCATTGCACGGCCCGTGAGACTCAACCAGTTACCTAGGAATTCGAATATCTGAAAGGCTGACCGGCGGTTGTTCTGACATCATAGTTTCCGCATATCCGCACCATGCATATTGAGGCTATTCCACTGTGTGAGTATTCGTGAAGAAGCGTCATCTCATGAGAGAGACATCGCAATCTAAAACTGCTCAAAGGGAGGCAAACTAATTGATAATTAATGCAGGGGTGGGAAGTAGTAATAATTACTCTTACCTCGTTATAGATGACAAGTCTAAGGATGCTGTGATCATTGACCCAGCCAACCCTCCCGAGTAAGGACTTCTAGGCCTGCATTTTCCCCGTTTATAAATCACCTCTAATGGACCTAATAGGGTGGTTCCAGTGCTCAAGGAGGCGATTAGCTCTGGCAGGATCAACCTGACTGCCATTGTCAACACCCACCAGTATGTCCAGAACCCAACTATTAGACTCTTGATAGAGGGCTGAAATTAACAAACAACAGCCATTGGGACCATGCTGGAGGAAACAAGAAGCTTGTGAGTTTGAAAATCGGCATATTGCAAGGTTTTCAAACATGAACTTACCATGGTCTATTTGTAGCTTGCTGAGCTCGGCACTCCCAACCTTACTATCATCGGTGGCAAGGATTGCGAGGGAGTAACACAGACTCCTAAGCACAACGAAGTCACGAAGCTGGGCGATATCAAGGTGACCAACATCTACACTCCCTGCCACACTCAGGATAGCATCTGCTACTTCCTGGAGGACAGCACTGGCAAGGCCGTGTTCACTGGCGACACCCTCTTCATCAGCGGTAAGCTTCCTGTTCATTCCTCAACATGCTTGGATGGGGATGAAAACAGAAGTAAAGTGACAGAAAACTAATACTGGTTCACAGGATGCGGCAAGTTCTTCGAGGGGACAGCTGACCAGATGCACGAGGCTCTCAACAAGCGCCTTGGAGCCCTCCCCGATGAGACTGTGGTCTATGTACGTTGAACACCCGGGGATGCAAACTAGGAGTTAAAAGCCCGTATTTTGGGGGACTTCACCTGCTGACCCAACAAAACTTGCGAGGATAGCCCGGCCATGAGTACACCAAGTCCAACGTCAAGTTCACCGTTTCCGTCTCCCAAACCGACGCGATCAAGAAGCTGCAGGCGTTTGCCGACGACAACCAGGTGACGACCGGCAAGTTCACCATTGGTGATGAAAAGGTTTGTGATACTCTACATCGCGCGTTCTGCCTAATTTGAACGAATATATTAAACTGATGCGTGAAAACCAGAAACACAACGTGTTCATGAGAGTTGAGGTATGGCTGAAAATGCTTCACAAAGCACCTCAAAGAAGCTGACCAGATTGTGCAACAGGACCCAGAAATCCAAAAGGCAACGGGCGAGACCGACCCGGTCAGCGTCATGGGCAAGCTCCGTGAGATGAAGAACAACTTCAAGTGAGGAAGTAATCAAATGCCCTCCAGTGTCGCGACAAGTTGGACCTGAGACTAACAACACCAACCAGACCACCAGAGGCAAAGATATGAGTATGTTTCTCAGTGTCAAGGATATGGACGAGGGCCAGGCGCGAGGGGGAATTGACAGTTTATGAGATTACAGAGAATGGGAGACAGGTGTTTATTTCAATTGAGCTCAAGAGCGCAGCCTGGGTTATGTCCCATGATACTCATGTTACACCGAAAATACAAATCACCACTTGTGCATGAAGAAATATCTCCATTGACCGCGAGGCGCCCGTCACCAAGGACAGCGGCGCCGCTGGCGATGCTCTGGACATCTGTCATTTTTGACGGACCGATTTTAATATTGCTTCACTGTCCACACTTGCTCGCTCTGGGACATAGGAGGCGGCAAGCTCTAGCATTTTTAGAAGCGGAGTTTTTGGGCTGGGATTTTGACCAGCGCCCAGTCGTCGTCATTCGAGCCTACTAAAGACTTACCGTCGAGCCGTTGAGAATGCATGTTATCACGAGAGCTGGGAAGCTGATCGTAGCAGTTCTGGCGGCTGGGCTTTGACTTGACGAGGTCATAACGCGATTGTTTGGTGGATGAGGTTGAAGGTCTGGAGTAATTTTTTTTTCAACGGGTTCCGAGGTAATATGTACACAGTGCTATTTGGTATACTGATATACTTGACACTGTATCAGTATCTTATCGTTGATAGCAAGTCCAGAAAGCGGATGTGCGCCGTCACGCATATACTCACATCGAGCCCCAGGGCGTGTCACGGAACAAGATGGTGAGTGAGTTCCTGAACAAGAGGCCTATGGGAATCATCTCTAACAGTACGCCAACAGCCGCCAAAGCGCAAAACCGGGGCCGCAGCCAGCGCACCCAAGGCACCACCACGATCGAAGCTCGCCAAAGAGCACAACATCTCGGCGCAAGAGGAGGGCGAGATCAAGGAGGCCTTCAGCCTCTTCGCCGAGCCCATGGACGGCGAGAAGAACGGAGTCATCCCGATTGACGACTTCAAATCGGCTCTAATGTAGGGGACCCCTCCTCAGCGTAACTTGCGCTCCCATGTGATCGTCCTATCCCTTGCTAACGTTCGCATCACAGAGCCCTCGGCATCCCCGCCTCCTCGCCCGCCGAACTCAAGGAGTTCATCTCCATTCTCGACCCCGAGTCCGACGGCTTCGCGACGTACGAGCCGTTCCTCGCCATCTGCGCCCTCAAGTTCCACTCGCGCGAGGACAGCACGGACGAGGCGCACCGCCACGAGCTCGAGGAGGCCTTCCGGCTCTTCACCAACGGCCAGGGCGGGCCCATAACGCTGGCCCACCTCCGCCGCGTCGCCGCCGTGCTCAAGGAGGACGTGGACGAGGAGGTGCTCAAGGACATGATCCTGGAGGCGAACGGCGGGGCGGGCGTCGCGAGGGGGGTCGAGCTGGCTGAGTTTGACGGGGTGATGAAGAATGCCGGCGTATGGAGATGAGGAGAGCATCTTCTGTGTAGGTTTTCTCGTATATATGGGTTCATCATATTTATAACCGGGGTTTGGGCTTCTCGCGTGGCGTTTGGGGGAGTGACAGGCAGCTTGTTTGATATTTGAGTTTGGTCTGGCTACATAGACCTCGTGGAGCAGAATTGACAAAAGAAACAATCATTGGACACGTACAAGAGCCTGGGAAGATGTCAAATTCGGGATATACGTTGCCATTCTAACGTGGAATGGAAATGCACAGGGTTTGGATGAACAGCTCTAGCCGTCGACAATTTCAAGGTGATACAGAGATGACGTGAACAGTTAAGAATAATAGCGTTGAGAATGAATTGAGTAACCTTTCACGGAGCTAATTCAAAAGCCAATATAGATGGTCTATTTAACCCTAGTATGTTTGCCGCCCAACTATAAAGAAAAACGCCAGATCGATGCCTTCGCTCTCGTTACATTATCGATCTCATATGCTGATGAGGAACCTCGTTTCCAAATGTGGTTTTCCACACAGAGAATTGAATAGAAAGGCACGTAGCCTAGAAAGAAAAGAAAAGAAAAGAAAAAGAAGAAAAGAAGAAAAAGAAGAAAAGAAGAAAAGGAAGAAGAAGAGAAAAATAGAAGAAGTAATTTGTTTAAAAAGAAAAAGAAGAAAGGGCCTCGATATCCAAACGTTACTCAGGAATAGGCTCCTGCTGCAGCTGCTGCTTCTTCTGGGTCTTGAGAGCTTCCGCCCTCTTCTGTGAATCCAAGACAGCCTGCAGCTCAGGTGGAGCCTTGAATCCAGCGTGCTCGGAGTGCTTCTTGTAGAAGTAGGTATCGGGCTTCGGCTGCAGCTCGGCGGGAAGCTCGTCCATGACGCATTTGAGGAGGCCGTCGATCGAGGCCTTCCGGGACCCCTCGCGGTGCCAGATGGTGATGAGGTGGGAGTTGAAACGGACCGAAAGTCCAACGCCCGCAAGCTGGTCGTCTAGAGACATGGTGTTAGCAGGTTGCCCATTTTTTAGTTTGTGTACCAAACCGTCCCTTCCGTCCTTTGCTCGAGAAAGGGAAGGGATGAAACTCCGCCACGGGGATTATAGAATCAAGCTCACCTCCATCTAGAGCGCCCTGGAGCTTCTCGCCAATAGCCAGGAGCTGGATCTGCGTCCAGAATTCGGGGCCCACAGTCTTGGGGACACGGAATGTCCAGCTGCCACCAGTGATATTACGGCGATCCTCCCAGACAGGACGGAAGCCCTGCTTGAAGAGGTAGATGGACTCTCGCATCTTGATCTGGTCGATGGGAGTGTTGTTGTGGTAGCGCCAAAAGTCCTGGACCGATTCGATCTGGGTATCTAGCTTCTCGAGGTTCGAGTGGTAGTTCTCTTCACCTTCCTTCTGGTCTCTCGCTTGTCTGGCAAAAACGGTCAGCATGCTAATCAGCCAACAGACTTCACCCATGGGTCCACGAGGGCAGAGTGAAGCTCAGGAAGATATTTCATGGAAGCTCACCCGTCGAAATAGACATCCCAGTAGTGCTGGGTGGGCAGAGCCCTCATGTTCTTGAACATGTTGCGCTTCGCATCGTCACGTTGGTCCGAGGGCGCACTGGAGGTTTCGTTGGCGCTTTGGCTCTGCGACAGGCCAGACAGGCGCTGGGGGAACGCTGATGAACGGAGGTTCGACATTGTGAGGAGGGTTTCGGCGGTTTAATCGAAGAGAAAGGAAATGGGACAAGGAAGAGCGAGATTGTGCAGGAAACAACGCTCGGATTGTGTCGAAGTGATGCTCTCAGCAAGCTGTCCTGATTCGGGGACCCTGGTGGAGGGGCTGACTGTGGTTGGCGGGTAGCACTTAGAGGGGTATCTTCAACGTAAGAGGCCAATGATCTTCACGTAAGCGGATGTACTGCGAGAAAAGAACGGGTTCGGAGTGACTGGGACCTGGGTGGAGGATGAAGAGCAGGATGGAATACAGAATGGCGAGGCTATGGTTTTAAGAAGCATTCGGCAGACTGGAGCAGCAAAGGATTAGCAACAAAGGATTGCTCGTCTACTAGCTTGCCATTACAAGAGTCAGCTTAGTTTGAAGCTGAGGTTGACAAGCCCACTAAAGCTAGTGGTATTATTATCCGTCCCCATGCTGGGCGTCAGCGATGAAGTTGCGAAGCCGTCATGCCATTTCATGCCGCGAGGGACCTCGGGGACAGGTCTTCTTGCGCCCAAGAATAGCTGGCTGGCGACAAGCGATGGTGGTACCATTTGCCAGCCCCAGCTCTGAATAGAAGCCGGCAATGCAACTGTTCCGCAAGGCTAGCAAGCAAGGGTGTTGGTGGTTGGTCGCCAAATTAGAATCAAGCTATCTGTGCTAATTGGAGGCTTCTGGGACCCATTCGGGGACGGAGCCTGTCTTGGTGACTGGAGCAGACCGGAAATCTGGCGGGTAGGTGGGATGATTGGCGCAGGAGCCAGCGCTAATTACTGACGCAAACCGTCTGCAGGCGGATGATGCTCGTCACGGATTGGTAGATGGACTTGAGAGAGCAGCTTGCTGTGACGCGTGTTCTCTATTGCGAGTGTGAGGCCGTTCATGGGGCCATCTGCTGCTTGAATTGTCGGCTTTCCAGACATATAGCCGTACAGCTCAGTCAGATATCGTATGCCGTGTTCTCTATAGACACATGCCGAGTTACTGAATATGAACAGAGGAAACGCCCGCTCAGTGAGTCAACGTCATACACAGCCCTGTCCTTTCGGATGTGGCTTCCAACCGGTCCATCATAGTAATACTATGGATTCGCAGCTACCAGCTGGAAGGTAAATTAATTATAGTAATCCAATCTTATCATCCAGCAGGAACTTGAGTTCGTTTATTCCAAATCAGCTTCTTGTGAAGCACAGAGCTGAAGTTAATTCTCAATAGCACAAATCCAGAGCACACCACGGCATCTACAGTAGGCCAACATGTAGCAGACATATAACGTACCAGGACGGCATGGATCCTGGTGCGGGCGGCCCCTGAACCGGCCCCCAAAATCCACCAAGCCGTTGTGGGCGACGACCCTCAAAATTAATTGAGCTCGGCTGGTGGATATCCTCCTCGTGGCTCTATTTCTGTATGTGAAACCAATATCCGTGCTTCCAACAAGCCACATCCCTTGCGCTGGCTATCTGATCCATCCGAGACACCTCGATCGAGAAACATGGCGTCCCAAGCCTCATCGACCAATTCGGGTCTCCCTCCCGACCTGTTCGACACCACCACCGTCATCTCCCTGCTGGCCACCGTGGCCATCGTCCTCGCCGCGTACTCGACCTCCAAGCTCGTCCTCCCCAAGTCGACATCGGGCACGCTCCGCTTCTTCTTCATCTGGCACCTTGCCGACGCGCTATGCCACTTCATCCTCGAGGGTAGCTTCCTCTACCACTGCTTCTTCTCCTACATTCCCACCTCCGAGCTGGGCCCCGACCATGGCCTCTTCCCCACACCGTACAACTTCCTCCTACATGGAGGGGACCGTGTCTACGGGGCCCAATCGGGTGGAAGCAACCCATTCGCCCAGTTGTGGATGGTCTACGCCCGCGCTGATAAGAGATGGGCCGGTGTAGACCTCGGTGTCGTCAGTCTCGAGCTGTTGACTGTCTTCTTTGATGGGACACTGGCGTTATACATCTGCTACTGCATTGCTAAGCGGGACCCCAAGACTAGCATATGGATGATCATTCTCGCTACTTGTGAAATCTATGGAGGTTTGTTTTCTAGATTCCCCGGCCAGGTTGATAGAACCAGGCGAGGCGGCATCATCATTTGGCTAATGTTACGATGCGTAGGATTCATGACATTCTGCCCTGAGTGGTTAGTCGGCAATCTCAACCTTGACGGGAGTAACTTCATGTATTTGTGGGTGTATCTTGTCTTCTTCAACATGCTCTGGGTTTTTATTCCCTTCTACGCTATATACTGGGCAATTGGGGATATTTCTTCAGCCTTGAACGAGCGTAAGATCAAGAAGAATCTATGACATACGTACTTGATCTCAATATGGTTAGACAAGTTAAGCATGCAACTACGGTAAGTCGAGTGGTAGAGCGAGAGTATTAACATATGAAAGTCACGATTGCATAAGTCATAAATGGTGTTTAACTGGATGTTGATTTCGTGCCAGGAACTATGTAGGGTATTCTAGTGCATCAAAGCACAGTCATAATCGCAACTCCATTGTTGTCGTTCCAAAAGTGTTCCAATCCCAGACTCCTTGACTTTGTCTTGAAATGTGTCTGTAGGGAGAGCTCGAAAGAGCAGCTTAGATGGCCTCCTTGTGAGCCTGGCCCTTGGCGTCGTGCTTAGACTCCTGGATCTTGTCGCCAGCGGCATCCTTGGCGGCGGAAGCACTGTTATTCTGTGTTAGTAGACATCCTTCAGAACATGTCTGCAGAAGTTGAGGAGAACTCACCGAGTGCCGAGGGTGGCGTTGCTGTCCTTAGCAACCTCCTTGTTGGCCTCCTTGGAGGTACCGGAAGTGGCCTGCTGGACCTTCTCACCGACGTAGTTGGCGCCCTGCTTGATGGAATCCATTGTGAATGTGGTTGGGGGTTTGTTTGAAAGTGGTTGAAGTTGTTTGTTTGAAGAGTTGGTATTGAGCTTTGAAGTTGTTGAGGTGATGAAGAAGAAAAGAAATGGAAGCTTGGAGGGCAGGCTTTGGGGTTTAAATAGAGGAGGGGTGCTCAGAGAGGTCTACGATAGACTGGCAGGAGCGATGCGTGCCTGGTGCCATCAATGACAATGTGTTGAGCGCAGAATCGGACCTAAGCTGGAATTGGCCATCGTCACTCCCCAAAGCATACTCATTCACTCTGCCTTGCAGCCCATTACCTCACAGGGGCAACTGCGAACAACCCGCATCATGTGAAGAAACGGCCTTCGTCGCGTCATAGATTACTACGTTCATTGCGTGGAGGGTGGTCTCTGATTCGACGGATTCAAGCGAGATGTACACAGATGTCCCGAGGAGCCTTTTGTCCCTGTATGTCAAAGGCCCGGATTGTGGAGTACGGCCGGGAGCCAAGGCATTGTCAAACTAAGCTACGGTGATTTACAGATATGCATCGTAGTTGGAGCTCCGGGCAATTCTGCATCAGGTATGACGTCAAGTGAATCGAACTTGCGAGCTCCAGTTCGCAGCAAATCAAGCACCCCGTCGTGGAGACACAATACCGGGCGCTTCGATTCAACAAACAACGCGCCCATCATGATGATGTCTATTGCCACATGCAACAGGTGCAGCCGGGTTAGTCGCGTGTGATGCTTTCTGACTGGCTGCCTAGCTCTTGCAGTTGCCATCGAAAATCATGATGACGGCACCATTCGCGTATTTGTGGGGCTTGGAGCTCCCACGTCTTTTTGCACAAACCCATCGAGATCACGGCGGAGGATTCTCTCCGCAAACATTGCAAGTTTGTCTTGTGATCGTGCGGCTTTGAGAGGAGTTGAATCTGGGTATGACATTCGATAGTCCTATGCCGGTCCATACCACGGAGTTTCGAGATATGTACTCTGGTCCACCGAAGGACCGAGGCATCAATTGTGCTATTGCCCCAGTTCCATACAATTGAGGTAGCAGCAGTAACTCTGCCCTAAGCCGTCATACACAATGAGGCTGAACGCAACCGAGATCAGTTTTGATACCTCTTTGCAGACTAAGCCGACAGTAATCGAAGATGTATCAGATACACCGAGATCTCTTTCCAAATGACATAATGCCTGCTGCCCTCGAGGTATTGCACCAGCTGTGATGTAACTTTTCATACAAAGAGTGCAGGGGCGTTATCGTTATACTTCTTTAGTGCCCCAAAGATGGAATTTCACGTGGAATTGTTGATCATGGCAAGGTTGGTGTAGATAAGCTTCATGCCCGTCCATCCTTCACATGTTTGATCGACGTTCCAACTTAGCACATGCTTTCGAGCTGAAGGGCAATAACACCTATTTTGCCTATATGTTGTTTTAGGGAAGCTTAATTGCACGAATGAGGTCGACATCAACGTAGGGTGAAGTCTTTCTGTACGTTTCTGTAAGGCATGATATCTGTCGTGTTAAAAAGCCACCAACCATGTTCAAGTCAGAGCTTCAAAACATTGTACACGACCAAAGGGCGAAAGACAGCTATAATGCGACTGAGTACTATCGTAGTATCAACAAGCCTCCGTGTAAACAAGTCTTAGTATAAGCAAGCCTCTATTCTTCAAGCAGACTATGACAGAACTTCATAAATGCTTAATACTTAGTAACCCACAAGACTAACCTCATGAAGCCTGTGTTATAAGACCATACAATAATTCGCACGGTTTCACAGCCAAAGATGAACCTAGTACGCCGAGAGAAAACAAGCACAGAATCAATTGGTCTTCTTCGGCTTACCTGAGCCAGACGTCACTCTTCTCTCCTCCCATTTCTCCCACCCGGACTGGCACGGGTCCTCCTCGACCACAAGATCTCTCAGCCTGAACGCTCTCGCAATCGGGGTCTCCAGGCCCCATCTCAACCATCCAGTGTACCTTGCAATGCCCACAATGGTGAACCATCCCACTGCCGAGACCACGCCGGTGATGCACCCGGCCCAGACCTGCCTCTCCGTATGATAGTTGAGATATATCCGGCTCCACGACGTGAGCGCCGCCACCACCGCCCCGGCCACCGTGACGGCCATCCGCTCGCCGACAGACCACGGTGTATGCGCGCTGCTGGGGGCCCGGCTGTCGACGGCCTTGGAGGGCTTGTGCCGGACGAGGAGGAACAGGCCGAGGGAGACGCTCCAGAAGGCGACGAACTGGGCGTGGGAGCTGGGCATGCCGTAGCCCTTGCCGTGCATGGCGGCCGGCCGTTCTTCTTTAATGAGCCGCTTGAGCGCGAAGTTGAGCGCCTCGCAGGCGAGCTGCCCGGCGAACGTCAGGCCGATCTCGACCTCGCGGGTCGACCATATCAGCGTTGCGTAGACCACGCAGAGGGCCTGGGGGAGGAGGGCGAGGTATGCGCAGAACAGCGAGATCGGATCCTGAGGGTCCTAGATAACACGATCAGTTCATGGACTTGTGGCGGCGGTTGGGGCCTACGGGCAGGCATGGTTGAGTAGTACATAGTAGACATGGGTCACGGAAAGTGACGCCAGGGGTGTTGGATCACCGGCCATTGTTGAGGTGGTTTTCAAGGCCGTGGTCAGCTTAGACCTGTTGTTTCTTGCTCCTATGCATGCATTGCTCGCGGTCTGGAAACGTGCCGAGGCTGGCCAGGAGAGGTGCAAGTAGCCAGCTGCGACAAGTCCCCTTAGCACCGCAGAACAAGTTCGGGAAAGGAGATGGATAGACAGACGGGCAATCCGCAGATGTTGTCTCTGCTCTGGTTTCGCCCAACGCCCGTAGCCGCAGGAGTGTGGCGAAATCAGATATTCGAGGTGCGAGACGGGCGCGCGGTGGATAGATAGATCCGGCAGCTCGCTTCGATGATGCAAGTTCGTGGGCATGTAGTAAGCCGCTCCGCCATTTACCAGCGTCTCAGAAACTCTACCCCGCCACAGCACGCCACAGCCAGCAGTCACCCCGTTTCTTGCCCCCATAATCAGAAATTATTGCGCTCGGGAAATGACTCTTTCGCTGAAGGCCTGCCCCACCAAGCGAGTTTCTCCATTAGCCTCATTTTCTCTTCAGATAAATATTTGATTACCGGGAGGAGGTGCCGTGTCCTTTGATCGTGCAGCGGTAGCAATCAATTTCCTGCTAGACAAACTAGATGCGCACAGAACTGCGCACACTGAGCCCCATGTCGATCCAGGCAAGCTGGTTATAGCAGCTACCCTGGACTTGAGTCAGCGACAAGTCACATCATTATCAGTTTGTAAGAAACCTTGCCACCAGCCACAGAACATTCTACTCACGCAACCTCGGAGCAGTTAAAGAGGTTTTAGAGGCATACGGAACATTTACTTAGTGTTATGGTGCCACAGGCTCTACCAGACAAGTTGGAAAATGGACTCTGATAGTGATGACCCGCGGTACTCCGAGTTGGAGACTCTCGAGGCTATCTACCCTGAGATCCGTCATCCAGACACTCAGGACAAGTTCACATTTGAAATCGAGCTTCCCGTCGAGCCTCAGGCCCCCGTGACAGTCACATTCCCCGCGGCAGTTACGAGTGAGACCGCTCTCGCCGACAACCCGGGACAGCCTTTGGAGGCGGAGGTTGACTCTTCCCAAGTCACCTACCTTCCATCCCTGACTCTCAGAATCACCCTCCCGAAGGGCTATCCTGAAGACAACCCGCCCATAGCCCATGTATCCACGAACCCCCAGTGGTTGCCTCAAACCACCATCGAAAAGCTCGTAGGAGATGGCCCTCGTCTCTGGGAAGAAGCTGGGCGTGATATGGTCGCTTTCACATACATAGACCACGTCCAGCGAGCAGCCGAGGATGTCTTTGGAATCACGAGCTCCGACGGGACTCTCCAAGTTGCTTCGGAACACAAGCTTGCCGTTCTGGACTACGATATCAAAGCCAAGAGGGCCGCGTTCGAGAAAGGGACTTATGAATGCGGTATATGTTTAGGTAAGTTGTGATACCTCTTTACTAGCAGGTATTATTGTTTTCGGTACTGATTCACATACCAAGACCCCAAGAAAGGATCGAAATGTCACAAAATGTTAGACTGCGATCACATCTTCTGTCTACAGTGTTTGTTGGACTTCTACAATGATGCTATCAAGGAGGGCAATCTGTCCACTGTCAAGTGTCTTTCCCCAAACTGTGCCAAGGAACGGGCTGCTTCGCAAGCAAAAACCACCGGCAAGCAGAAGAAGCCCAAGACCTCCCTCAGCCCCAGCGAGCTTCTCCAGATCGGTCTAACAGACGAAACGGTCAAACGCTACGTGGCACTCAAGTACAAGACGGAGCTCGAATCCGACAAAAACACCGTTTACTGCCCTCGCCAGTGGTGCAACGGGGCCGCCCGCTCGAAGAAGCACAAGAAGCCGGAAGGTCTCGAGCTCAACGAGGTTTCCGACGGGGAGTCAGAAACAGAGGACAACAACGACGGCGCTGACGACGACGAGAAGGCCGGGGAGAAGAAGCCCCTCAAGTTCGACCGGGGCGAGCTCCTCTCCATCTGCGAGGACTGCGGGTTCGCCTTCTGCAGCCGGTGCTTCCAGTCCTGGCACGGGGAGCTCAAGATCTGCCACCCGCGGGCCAAGGACGGCGAGCTGACCGAGGACCAGAAGGCCTCCCTCGAGTACATCCGGCTGCACACGAGCCCCTGCCCGACGTGCGACGCGCCCGCGCAGAAGACTCACGGCTGCAACCACATGATCTGCTCACGCTGCCAGACGCATTTCTGTTATCTGTGCTCGGCCTGGCTCGACCCGGCTAACCCCTACATGCACTACAACACGGTCCCCGGCGGCAAGGTGACCTCGTGTTATATGCGGCTGTGGGAGTTGGAGGAGGGCGACGGCGACGATGTAGGGATCGAGTACGGCGGCGGACGAGCAAGGCAGGAAGCCAACAACCCCCCGCCACCGGCGGTAAGGGCTCCCGCTGCAGAGGTAGTTGAGGACTTCGACTTCGGAGGAGGAGCAGGAGGAGGAGAGGAAGCCGCTCGCGCGGTTCCGCAACGAAACAGACGCGAGGAACCCGTGGCTGTCGCTCGAGAAGCACCGCTTGTTCTACGTCTTTTCGACAACGAGCAACCCCAAGGTGCCCAGCCGGCCGTCCCGCCTGCCGCTCCTGATGTCCCACCCGCCGGTGGTCGAGGACAGAACGCACCGAATCGGGGAGGAGGCGCGCCTGCTCGAGGTCGTGGTCGGGGAGGGAGAGGAGCGGGAAGAGGAGGTGGGAGAGGGAGGCGGCAGGGCCAGGAACCTCAACGCCCCCCGGAAGCCGCAGGAAACGCAGAAGCCATTCAGCAGGAAGGGCTTGATGCTGCGCAACAAGCCTGGGTACGGCACTTTGTGCAGATGGCACTCTTAGACGCGGAAGACGAGATCGAAGGGGGCTCGGATGACGACGACGATAATTTTCTCATTCGTTGATGTCAAAGAGACAGGACACTGGGAACGCTCAATGACCCATTAGAAACCCTACGTAGAGAGACGATAATGACTACCTGAAATTTGAAGCACGAGGCACAAACTGGTCCATGTTGGATAGAGTAGCAGAGGGTGATTAGCCTAAGCGTTCTTTACTGCCTCTTCACAATACAGTACAGCATACTGAGTATGTATTGTACCCCCCAATATAATAGGTTTAATATACGACCTGTTAGCCTCATATGGGTGAGACGACCTACTACGCATCAGGCAAGCTTGTTGCTTTTAGCATTTCTTAACATGCCTCCATTAACAGTGGTGAAACTAGCCATCTATAGCACCTCGTTTCTCACGAGTGGCATCACCGGAAGACCTTCATCAACCCGTTTGGGGAAATTGGGTCGGTGAACGCCACTTACAGAGTTGGCGCCAGAGCAGGTAGCCAGGGACCGGGACGAGAACGCACAACGGCCCCGCGTCTCAGCTTCCAGGGTTAACGCGGTTTCAAGGAGAACCTGACTCTGACGGGGCACGACTGCAAGGCCACGATACTCGAGGACAGACCAAACAGTCACACCGTTGTCCAATCCCGAAGTACCGATTCTATCAATAAGTTCCACTGGGCCTGGATCGGTCACAGCAATGGGGAACTCGGAATGGCTGATTCAACATATCACCCCCCGGTCGATGCGGCGGTTAATACAGGCAGCCCGGTGTATACTGCAGAGTCATCATACAGCATAGGGTTGCCAACTCTCGGAAATATCACAGCGCGTGGTTGGATCCCCGGCTTCCTAAGGCAGGGAACCTTGGTGATACTCCCGTCAATGAGCGTCGAGTAAGCAGCTCCTTGCATATAAGCTCGCGTTATTACCAATATAGCCTCGTTGCTTGCGGGCCGTAAATAACAAGCGAGCCTTTGCATCCTCTTCCTTGAAAGGGTACCTCGGCCGGCTCCGACTAAAACTGCATTTCGCGCATCAGAATCCTGGAAGTTCCTCCCATCGAGGCCTCGTACGATAAACACCCCTCTCTAGCGCGGCTTCAGGGTGGCTACATATGTACGCTGACCCTGGCCAAGAAAGGCCTGCTAACCTGCAGCCGCCTCTTCTAGGTTCGGGGGCCAGGGGGGGTGAGTGAGGGAGGTCAGGAGGGAAAAGAGGGGAGCTCAGGGGATTGATGTTTGGCCCATTGGCATGTTACAGCTGATGGAGGAGGGCGGCGCGACATCCGCGTGCAGCTGGGGGCAGCGAGGCTTGCTGGGCGCCTGCTTGCGTGGGTGGGTTCGTATACACTGATTGCAATTTAATCGATCTCGCGCTCTCGAGAGTGCGGTCTCTTCACGCACAGGCCAAGAAACGCACTGGCCACAAAAGCCGGGGTTGGAGGTTGCCTTTCGGCCCTTTCAGGGTTAGATAACGGGCAGCCCTGGGGATTTTCTGGAAGAGGGCTTGGCAATCGATCAAGTTCATCGTCGCACTGCCTCGCCCATGACCGCAGTCCGAGATTGGTGACACCCGGGCGTGGGCAAGGTGCGCTTCCCGCCCTTTTCGCCTCGATTGGCGAGTGTCGCGCGCGAAATGCGTGAGAGGAAGGCGGGCTTCTGAGACCACGGCCAGCGTTATCTTCACCACAACGGGCGAACGCACATCATCCTCCTAGACGTGAGAAAGTGGGACGGATGTTGGTACCAAGTGCGACAAGCAGGTTAAAGTGGGTGTTCCAGGACTCAACTAAGCTTTAGCTGCATCCGCTAGGCCTGACTAAAAGACTCTCGCCCTAGGCTGTTGAGTAAAAGCTTCCGAAGGCGCCCCCAGGATTGCCTTGCCAGACAAAGCATCAGTCAGCGCGGGTCGGAAGCCAGATCCAGAAGTGATATCTGGGGGGCTGTTGAGCCTAAGGTGCTCATCTCCGACTTCATCTCCCATTTGCTCCATTGCGACGTGAGATTGGGGGCAGTCGAGCCAATATACAGAAATAGAGAGCGACATATGGTTACACCATGCGTCCGCAAGCAAGCCTCGCGTACTGGGGTTGATCCCGTCAGAGAACTTCCGGCGGCCCAGGTCAACCGCATCCAGCGGGAAGAAAGGATTCGATGGAGGAGGGGGGCCGAGAGGCGCTGCCGTCGAAAAGAACCAGACTTCAGTATCCATCATTTCTTCATCATGCAGGCCAAAACCCGTTTTCCAATGGCAGTTGCAGCCTTCACGCAGTTCTTCCAAGGGTGCCCAACTTAATCCGTCGCGAGCGACCAACCAGAGCAAAGCGACCCATCGCAGCCACAGGTAGGAAAATCACCACCACTTCTTGTGAGTCGAAGGCGGGCAAGTACTGCATAGTACTTGCGGTAGCGTCTGGCGGTAGTTGTGCCACACCCTGGACGGTTGGGGTCGGGGCCGGGGTCAAGCCTGACCTTAACACCGGCTCTAAGTATTTCGGCCGCAGGATGTTTAAGAGGAGTGTCGCCATTGGACCTCTGCCTGGTGTTGTGACAACCTTGATTTCACAGGGGGGGCGGGCGGCTTCGCTTTTTTGACAGTCAACGGTCCACCCCATTTGAGCTTTGTGTAGGACATGTGCATCTGACAGGCGCTGAGGCTTTCTTGTCCTCAGCACCAGTTTCGTCATCCGTTGCAAGATCTGGCATGCCATCGTCCCTCTCGTCGCCATCACCTTCCTCTGGCCCCATCAAAACCTACCTGCCTGATATCACGGTGGCCAAAATGACCGCATCGTGTGAGTGACAATCCCATGATCAGGGTGTTCCTTGTGCGAGGCCCCAGCCCATGATGGTTATGGCAAGAGAGTCTGTCGGCTGGGAGATTTACAACCCGTATATCCTCTCCGCCGAGGGGCGATTGTTGAGGACCATGCGCACCGCGCTAAGTATACCTGGTACGCGGATGTCGCAATGATCTTCGTAGTTCTCGTCTGGGAAAGAGAGGGATCTTGGATTGATGCTCAGTTTGTCCATTCTGCTGAATACGGAGTAGTGGGCTAAAGGACCTGGTTAATTCCCAATCCAGTAACTACCAGGGTAACAGAACAAAACAAGTGAAATCCAACGCGATTGCTTGAATGTTTCGTGAATCCCCACCAATCTTGTGCCCAAAATGATCATTAGATCTGAGATGTGGGCGGGATCGTAGCATTTTTGGATGTCATCTTGAACATCTCCAGCTTAGCATCGTTGGTTACACGAAGCCAGCCATGATAATGCAATCCAAACTGAAGTGGGAGCTCGGCGGGAAAGTTTAAGATGATGACCGTGCTGATGATGATGATACCGTAGCCGAGGTCTGGCTTGACTGATATTTCAATTATTCATTTAGTTTATAGATTGTAAATGAATGAGCAAGAGAGTGGTGTTTGGAGGGGGGGTAGAGGGGTGTGAGAGACATGATTGGATTGGCGCAAGGATTTGGCTTCTGAAGGGGAGATAAAAAGGGGGGCGAAGTGATCGAGCAGCAGCAAACGTCTGTCGCAACAGCATGGCTGGGGTACTGAATTAGGTACCTTCTTTCTTGGTTCAGACTGGCATCCGCCTTTGATCCCGGGGTGCAAAGTATCTGAGATAAGAGGGTGCAAGCCGTTGACTGAAGTGACAGATTCGCCAGTAGCGCGCATATCAGCCATGATCTGGGTAAGAGATTGTCGAGTTCATCCGGACGACGAACCCAAGGGTCACCTGGCGAGATGGATGACTTCCTGTTGCCAGGAGTGTAGTCGAGAACCATTTGACTAGGAAGGTGGTTGGCAGCATGCCGTGTGGCGGGCATCTTCAATTACGGATGCTGCGAGTCTGGTCTCCGGCCGATGTACGAGGGGCGCCCCATTGGCTGGCTCAATACAGAACGGGCGACATATGGATCTTCAGACAGAAAAGGGCCATGTCGAGGCGGGAGAGGGAGACTTCATTCAGAGCATCATCAACATCGATGGGGGCATGTGGCCTGGGTCGAGCTCCCATCCTAGGCTCCAAGGAGGGTTGGATGCGAGGGAATCTCACCGGATCGACACGTTCCATTAGCCACCCTCCGGTCGCAACTACCGAAGATAGGTACTTACCACCTACCTTTATCTGCCCCGACTCCCTCTGTACCACCAACCCAGTACCCTCCATGACCAGGTTTCCCTTTAAAGTCGCGATCGTGGGTCCGTAATTTGCTGGGCAAATACCTAGTCATAATACTGGGCTCGACGCTCGCGGGAAGGCAGTGGCCTCCACAGAGGAGGAGCATGCGACGCACACGGCACGGGTGTGGCACGTGCAAGGGACTTTGATACGGTGCTCGTAGAGCCTCTCGCACTGTCTCGCATGCAGCCCTCTGCCCTCCTTGGCTGTCCTTGCCGGTGGCTGGCGCGCGAGAGCAGAGGTTCTGCTCTGTACAGTAGCGAGGTGGGGACCTGCCTGTGCAGGGATGGTGCTCCCCTGCTCCTTCCCCCCCTCCCCCTTCCTCGCCGGGCAACTTCCATGGGTACACTGACGTGCTCTTCCCCCGAAGCTTTCCTCCCACGCTTCGAGTCTGTCTTCGTATCCCATTCCAGCCCTGCCTCTCCTGTCCTATCCTATCCTATCTGGCCAGCTGGGTCAGGTCATGTTATGTCATCTCGCTGAGATCCTGTGCCCCGGCGACGTGCGTTTGGTGCTTACCCGCAATGTGTGTGCGTGCATGCGCGCTCCTGTCGACGCGCTCGACCTGGAGGATATGCCTCTCTTATCACAGTGCCGGCCGGGCTTCTGGCCGTGGTTCTGCTCCAGCAGCTGCCTAGCTGTCCCGTTCCCACTAATGTGCTAGAGAATGCATGCGCGTGTGGGCAACCTGTGACATCTTGGACAAGGCGGATGGGCACTGATCCTTGCTCTATCGACGAGGGACCAGGGTGCGAGCGACACACAGCATCAATTAAGGTGCGTTCCCTGCGAACAATGGTTCAACATTAACCAGCGCGAGCGCCATTCACATTGAGCATCGCGCCCTTGAACCATGCTTGATGCTATCCGCTAGTATGCAATTCCGTACCCGGTCGTCACCCACCATGGCACGGAGATATATCGAATGGGATGCGACTGCTTGTTTGGGCCATCATCTTACTCAAGCCCACCGCGGCTCGGTGCATCTAACCTGCTGCACCTCTGTGCCCTTCGCCTGCACCCTCACCCTGGATCAATCCTCAGCCTCCACCGGCCAGTCTCCATATGTAGGTACAGCCGTCGAGTCTTATCTCGCCATCTGGAGACGCCATCGCAGCTGGAGAGACTTACGGAGTAATCGAGGGTCGCGGGAAGCCCAGCGATCAAGTGCATATTGGCTATGCGGGTTGAATGTGACCTTGTCGCTGCGCGCATCGCCCGCCCATTGATGAACACCCCACTTGGTAGTGTCATCCGCGTCCTCATCGGCTGCACCGCGCCGCGAGCTTTTGCCCCGCCGAGGCCTGTTGATTCGGCCGTCGGCCAGTCGCATCGAGCCTAGGTGAGTGATTTGACCCTCTAAAGGTTCTAGCTTTTCTAAGTGATGAATGACAGCCGGCACTTGAAGGTCTGGGCAACGTTAGTATTGACCTACCATCTCTGATATAAGGTGCAGGGTTATTAGTCTAGCTCAAAGGTGCCTGACTCTGAGGCTCTTTAGCCTACTGCAATCATCGCGTTCAAGTTGGTACACCTGACCGCCTTCAAGGTTGGCTATGTCCCTCAAGAGGCATTGCACCTTGCGCATTCCGATAGCTGGAAGGTTGTGTCTTTCTCGACCCGTCGAGCCGTGCTGGCTTTGCAAATGCTGGCGAGTTCTGGCTGCTGTTGCCATTTGTTCTCTTCCTCTCTGCTCAGCGGTCTTCGGGGAAAAGAGCGGACCATTGGCCTGTCACAGGCTTCGGAGGATTCTTCTTGTCTGTGACCTTTCCCCGTCCTGGAAACGATCCAGCCCACCATTCCTTGTGGTTCGCTAGCATCAGGGATTTCGCTCGGAAAGGAGGGGTCCCCTGCAAACATGGCTTTGACAGGTCCTCCTCAAGATTTCTTGAGCCGATGCTCCACCCATCCTTGGTCTTCCTACCGTCCGCCCCTCCATGAATGTACATACCGAGACAAGTGCCCTGTACTTTTGCATTGATTTACAGCCTGCCCGCGGGCGAAGTCTCGGCACCCCGGTCTTGCCCCCCCCGCCCGTCTCCGGTACGTGTATGCTTGTCATCGTTATGATAGGCCATCTCTTCACAACCAATGCCCATCATCAGGGGACCTGTCCCTACTGAGTATAGGCTCTGCTGACTCCTCTTTTTTGTCCCCCCTCGGCAGACAGGGGAGGGTGTCTGGAGAAGCCCCGTTCTCGACTAGTCGAGTCTTTTGGCTTGCAAGTGCCTCGTCGCAGTGCTTGTGGACATTGCGGAGGGTTGTTGCTCACAAGTGAAGCGCTCTGCATCGCTGGTAGGGACGGTACCTCTATGCCGAGCACAAATCGGAATGCATACGATACAAATGACCCTCCACGGTCTGAGGGAGCGCTTGTGGTTCTCATGTGCAGCTCCTAGGTCTTGACGCTCTGGCAAACAGTCTCATGACTTGCGCTTCCAATCTTTCTCTCCTTCCTATAACAGTTGCATGCGCTATGTACTTGCTCTGAAGCCGCCCAGATTGTGCTCAACTACCCGGTCCGGCGCTTCTTGTCCATAAGTCAGAGGTGGAAAGACCCCCCTGCCAATATGTATCAATCTTCCCGTAAGGCTTGTTTTGGGCTCATGTTCCTCCCAGGCCCATTAGTAGACGACATAAGTGAGGCCCGCCCCATGCCAAGGTACATGGAGCGCGCTCTTCTACACCCCTTAGCCAGTACTGGGTGCTTCACTAGACGCCCCCTCCAGCATGCGTTCGCGGTCTCCAGTTTGACAAATACAAGTACACTTGCATCTGCATCCTCACGCATCATCTCCTCACGTCTTTCTTTAATCACCTCCCAATACTTGATATCATATCCTCGTAACTTGGGTTGGTTTGCGGTTCAGACACCAACTTGAGAGTTACACGGGAAGTGTGGTCACTGCCTTGCCTCGAGACGGTTGGCTTGGGAAGGCAGCCATCTCGGGTGTTTTTCTTTGTTGGCGCCTGTGACAGTTACACTAGAAGTATCGCGAACTTCGGGCCATTGGATACGCGAAAGGTTTACAAAGATATGCCCCCATGACAGCCACAGCAGCTTATTCGGCTACTATGCCAGACTTGAGAGGTGACCCAGCTCCGTCTAGTCTCTGGCCAAACTATGGTGGACCCGTCCATATGACGCCGAGGATCTCCATTGACGCTGGGCTTTCCAACCCGCCTCCAGCATCGCCGCATTCTGGACGGGCAAGGAGTGACCAAGCGAGCATCGACCAGCAAACATACTCGTACAGCCGATACTCTCACGAAGATGCTGACCCATACAGCGGGTCGTCGCATACAGGACCAAGCACTCATCTTGGGTATCAGAATCATCTAAAGCGTCCTTTCTCGCAAACGGATCAATCGAGTGGCCACGAAGTCTCCCAGGATCTTCGAGGTGATGGCTCGCGACCACAGACAAGCCATGATCACAAACTCTTATCCTTTCGAAGGTCCCAGGAGAGCCAAGCAATTACTGATCAACACGGACGACTGCAGCAACTAGAGCTATCGGCGCAACTGCACGGGATGTTCTTCCTTTCGGAAATGCCTGCGAATGCAAACGATGGCACTGCTCTTCAACCAGAGCTGACTTGTTATCGTCGTAACTTGTTCCAGATAAGCGGATCACTAATTACACCTAGAGGCCAACTGTCCGTGCTCAATGAATCTGGGGAGAGCACGGCCATCACCAGTATGGAGGTGACGATTTCAGCCATCGAATCAGTCGATGGGAACCCCGTACGACTAATTGTCATCCCCTGGAAGACTCCGCCACCAAACTTTCCAGATGTCAACCAGAGCCCTGATCAAGAACCACCGGCCCTTCCACTGATCCCATTTCAAGAAGAGGACGCCGAAGCAGACGGGGAGTTTGCAGTGTACCCCATCGGATGGCGGCGGCTGCAGTTCCGAATGTACGTTACTCAAGACCAGACCTGCCGAGTATTCTAGACAGCTGACCGGATCACAGTGCGACCGCCAACAATGGCCGACGTAAAGAACTTCAACAGCATTTCGTTCTTCATCTGAAAGTGTTCGGTACACTTTCAAACAACTCAAAGGTTGTGCTGACCGAATCAACCACGGCCCCTATTGTCGTGCGAGGACGAAGCCCTCGCAACTTCCAGGCCCGGAAAGAAATCCCTTTGTTAGGATCCAGTGCTGGTTCTCGAGGACAAGCACTGGTTGAAACCGGCCTAGGGGTTGTAGCAGGAGCAGTCAACGTGAAGCCACAAGACGCAAAACCCAGAAGCGGTATGGACACTATGCAGCTACCACCAAGGTCAGCCTTCACCTTTGAAGCGCCGAAGCCAGCAGCTCCTCAGCTCGACCCGATCAGAACAAGGTAATACCACTTCTGGCCTCCCTTGTCTGTTATCTCTCGTACTGACACACTATCCTCAGCTCATATTCGCCTTGGGCTGCTGCGGGTCATAGTTCTTTGGGTCAGGTACCATCCTCCACATCTGGGTCATGGCCTCCCACTACGATGGGGACAGACCTTTACCAAAAGGTGCCAACATCGAGCGGAGCTAGTTTCAGTACCGACCCTCAAGAGACATCTCTTCAGACCGCTATGGCTCCCTCAGGACCTCTATCGCTGTTATCGGACGATGACCACTCACAGCCCATACGACCTCAGTACACATACATACAGTCCAGCACAACACCTCGCCAGATGGCGATGGATCCTACGACTCAAATAGGCCCCGATAGCGCAGTCAATGTTCCACGTTACGTGGACGAAGGAAGGCCAACCAAGGCGTTCCGCAATGCTGGCCACCAGTCCGTGCACAGCTCTGGATCGATTGGAAACAGTGATTCTACTTCCGAATATCGCTATGGATCTTATACAACCATACCCAGTACATCTACTGAGATTCCCCAACCCTCCTTCAACTCTGATGCGCCGGTCACGAGCCAAGGGGGGCAGCGCGAGATTTACCCCCCGACACAATCTTGGACGACCTCTTCAGGGGGCGATAGCTCGATACTGGCGTATTCTGGCACTGAGGGTCACCCATACACATCTCCGTATGATCACCAGAAGAGCCGAGTAAGTGGCTCTCAGATCAAAGGCGAGGGCCAGACCAGCCAGCCGGAAAGCTACAGCAGTGGACACCGCGGCTCATTCGATGCCATGAACAACTACTCATGGAGCAACAGTTAATCTGAGGAACGGCCGAAATGAGAGAAACGATACTGGATCGCCTCAACAAGCATGTTGGCGGGTTTCAGACTGCCTGGCATATCAAGTGTGGCTCGAGGCGAACGAGGTGTACAACCGTGAATGTTGTCGAAGCAATGACTCAACAACATCCTTATAATTATATCGCGGCAAATGTCGGAGGTAGTTACAGCGCCGGGTTAGGGGAACAAGGATGGTTGGTGATTGTATGGAACATATGGTGAGCTATCCATGCCGAGTATGGCATGGCGCCTCGTGTGCGTTTTCAATGAAGTGATGAATGGTCACTTTTGGGGAACGAGTAGCCACCATGAGTGTTCACTAAAGGACCGTGGGAGCATACCAACCAGGATTTACGGCAGCACCTGTGAGCTCTGGCTCTTGGTGCTGAGGAAAGTATATATACATGAAGCAAACCTGAAATGGGCCTTGGGCCTAGATAGGATTGAGGAACGATGCAAATGCGTGGGAGGAAAGCAAGTGGACGATACCCGGTTTCATTTTGCCTTGTGCATATTAATGCTGAGCGGAACATCAGAGGCTACAATGTACAATAGCATGCACACAGGCCTGATCGCTTTTGTTTCAAGGCAAAGATGGCGAGACTGTACATATACAACTAGTATGTACCTACGCATCGGCTTGGCAGTGATTGGTAGTAAATAGTAGGAAGAGCTGATCCAGGTAGTACAGCGACTGGAAGCTCAATGGCTGGGATAAATGTACGAGGGGACTTGGACTAATATATATTATATATATCCCTGCTTATGCTATGTATATACATCTTTAGTTATTGGCATAGTAATGATCCACATGGTGTTTATATGGTGGACCACTTTGCTCTCGTCAGCGTGACTGAGATATGGATAGAAAAGGCTGGGAGAAGCCGAAGTTGATCGGCATACAGGGCTATGAGCTGGCTATCGGGAAAGCTAGAAAAGAAAAGAAAAAAAGGGCCTGGAAATTCAGCTGATGCTCGGTTTGTCGTTGAACGTATCAGGCTTGTGATTAGTCTGTATGTCTGGGCCAACCCAAACTGCTGTAAGAACTAATGATGAGTCTGTATTAATCGAGGAAAATAGGGCTGGCGGTGTTAGTTTCAGGGGAAATAAGTCTTGGTTCTCTTATGCATACCACCCAACATGCAAAAGTTCTGATGTGTGATTGGACAAGATCAGTTGGGCTGTGTTGGTGCATCAGCCGCACCGCAAATAAGGCAGCGGAGCTCATTTCAGATTCTTTCATCACCTCCTGAAAGAGAAAGTCTCTTGGTGTGGCTCGAAAACAATGGTAAGTAGTTGAGCCCTTCCGTGCGACTGCCAGCTAACAAGCCTCAAGCCTCTACGCCAGCTTTACCCGGAGGCTGGAGACACGTCCGTCGAGGAGAAAGTCGAGTGAGCCTTCCAATAATAAACAAACTGAGTAAGGCAGCTGACAAGTCCAGCATAATCGCCGTCCACGGCCTGAATCCTCGAAACAAGAAAGACGAAGCTCACGCCTGGGATACATGGCGCTCTGCGGGTGGCCGCCTCTGGCTCCGTGATGATCTCCCCAAGATTCTCTCCGATGCCCGTATCTTTCTCTACCGCTACAACGCAACGGCAGTCTACGGAAGCGACCAGGGCACGTTTTCCGACAAGGCGGACGAACTGTTAGAGGCGATCCGTGCCGAGAGAGATGATATACAAACCCGACCGATTATATTCTTGGGCCATAGCATGGGTGGTTTGTTGATAAAGCAGGCGCTGATTAACGCCCATAATAACCCGAAGTACAAGTCAATCAAAGATGCTACGAGTGGCATAGGATTTTTTGCGACACCTCACAGGGGTGTAGACTCGAATATGCTTGGCCTGGGAGAGATTGTGGCTAAGATTGCCGATAGAGCGGGCTTCCGACAAGGGGACAACATTTTAGAAGTCTTGAAGCAAGGAAGCATGTTCGCGGACGTCTTACGAGAGCATTGGAGGCACCAGATTCTCCAGTATGATATTATATCGTTTTGGGGCGGTTCGGATAAGGTATAAACGTCGACTGAGCCACTGGGATGATTGCTAACGCTGGGCTATAGATTGTTCTCAAAGAGAACGCACGGCTGGGGATGCCCGGCGACCGCGAGAATGTAGTAAGGCTGGACGCCGGACATGGCGGAGTGTGTAGGTTCGGCTCAGAAATAGCTGATCAGGACAACTTGAAACTCGTCCTACGCAATGTCAAGGATTTATATGTAAACGCGATACAGATTGGTGAGTGCAGCCTTAGAACAGGGGGCCAAGAGGGGACTTTTGAAGAAAGTGTTGAAGTTCGGCTGTCAAATTTGAGAGCCTAGGAACCCTCTTGGTCTTCGATAGAAATGGAGAGAGTGAATGAGATGATCTTTACGATGCTAACCATGTTGTGCCTGAAGGCCTTAAGACTGGACTGAAAAGCCCTGTATCGAAGCAACCTCTTCATTTGTTGCCGTTTCTTGAAAACAAAAACTTTACGGGAAGAGAATCAGCCCTTGAGGACATCCGACAGTTTTTTTTCGTGGAGGGTCGCACCAGAGTGGCACTGGATGGACTCGGCGGCATAGGAAAGACCCAGGTGGCATTGCAGTTTGCCTATTGGGTCAAGAAAAACAAGCCAGAGTATTCAATATTCTGGGTTCCAGCTCTAAGCCGTGCGAGCTTTGATCAAGTATATGCAGAGATATTCAACAAACTTCAAGTTCGAGAGACAGGTCCAGATCAGGACGTCGGAGATTCTGTACGGAAGCATCTGACTTCCAATGAATTAGGAAGATGGATTATGATCGTCGACAATGCCGATGACAAGTCCCTCATGTACGGTATTCCAGGGCGACCTGGCCTCATAGAGTATCTCCCTGTGAGGGAAGACGGGCTGATCCTTCTCACCACAAGAACACGAGAGATTTCCACGTCATTTGCGGGGCCTGATGTTGTTGAATTGGAGTGCATGAATGCGGCGGACTCCAAAGACATCCTTGAGAAATCCTTGATAAAAAAAAGAATCCTTCAGGACAAGGGGCTCGTTGCGGAACTCTTGGAGGAGCTGACCTACCTGCCGTTGGCCATCGTTCAAGCCGCAGCGTATTTCAATAAAAACCGGCAATTATCTCTCAAGAGGTACCTGGACCTATTGAAATCTACATACAAGAAAGAAGTGAGTGTTATGAGCACAGAGTTCTTCGACCCGGCGCGATACAATGGTACACCAAGTGCCATTCTTTCCACCTGGCTTCTGTCATTCGACCAGATTTTTGAAACGGTCCCTAGAGCAGCAAATTTGCTTATGTTCATGGCCTGGGTTGAGCCTCGAGCTATTCCACGTTCGATGCTGCCTGGATTTGATGAATGTAAAGACTTTGAAGACGCAATCGGCACGCTATGCGGCTATAGCTTTATCTCACAGAGAGAGGATGATCAGCTTCTTGACATGCACCGGTTGGTTCATTTGGCAACCCAGTCGTGGATCAAACTGCAAGGCAGGACGGAACAGACAACTGACAAAGCGGTAATACATATGAGTTCACTGTTGGCTGAACCGCGACCAAGTCAGCCTGCTTCTTGGCGGCTTTTCTTGTCACATGGGCTGCGATTGTTGAGTCAATGCCAAACATGTCCTCTGATCCAACACGTCTACCTGCGCCTTGAAGTCAGCAAGCTCCTACAACACGAATGGCGCTTCCAAGAGGCACTGCAATACTGTCTTGAAGCTGCAGACTGTGCGAAAGAACACGTGGTCGAAGATTGCCAACTGAGATTGAAAATAAAGCGTATGCTTGTTACTGCACATCTATGCAATGGCCGTATCAATGAGGCGTGTGATATCCTTGAGCATGTCATCTCGCTCCAGAAGCAAACACTAGCTGAAGACAATCATGGTCGCCTAATCTCAGAGGGCCAGCTTGCTTTTGAATGTCTTAAAGTTGGCCGTTTCAGTAAGGTAAATGATATTATTGAGTATGTTACCTCGATCCGGAAACAAATGCTAGCCGAAGATGATTATGATCGCCAAGGATTAGCGATATTGGTTGCTCTTGCATATCTGGAAGGTGATCATATCAAGAAGGGAATTGATATTCTCGAGCACGTCGTTTCTACCCAGAAACAAACACTAGCTGAAGATAATTTTGATCGCCTGGAATCGGAGCGGCTGCTTGCTATCGCGTATCTGAATGATAATCGCATCAAGGATGCAATTAATATACTTGAGAAAATTGTTTCTGTCCAAAAACAAATACTATCTAAAGATGATCCTGTTCGCCTATTGCCAGAGCGTCTGCTTTCATGGGCATATAAATTTTAGCTAAGGGACTGGTATCAAGAGGCTACAGCCTTGAAAGCTCCCGGTTTATTGGCTTGATTGAACACTCTCGGCCCGAGGGACCATATGAGAGCTGTATGTATGGAATTTTTGGAAGAAAACGCAAAGGAGAAAAAAGGGTAAACGGCCCAGGTTCAACAGATCGATGTGCTCGGAAACCCGTGACTGGGTGCGGGATGCAATAACTACTAGAGACCGTCAGTTCTAATTGAGTAACTGGAATGATATGAGGATTATTAACTATATACTCCGTGAGCTTTCGGAATTAATTACATTTACTACAGATAAAGAAAGCAGGAAAAGCCGTGATGCACATGATTGGAGTGATGGTGGTTGTCGTTTACCAATGGAAAGAGAAAGAAACCAATATACGACGAGAGATCCCGGGAACCCTATCGTGTTTTAAGAGAGACGTTCCTCTTCGGGTCTCTCATTCTGGTGTGGGCGGTTGCTGTGTAGATTGTTGGCTATTCTTTTGATAAAGATGGTGCCTCTCTACCATCCAACATCTAATAGGCCGGCATGTAAGCCTAGATAAATTAGCTAGATACTTCTATTATCTACGTCGTACATTCATCTGTCTGCCATATATGCAACGAGTTATTCATCTACTCCCAGTGTCTTGCTTGTCATTGAGCACGACGTCTGAAAAGTGGGGCTACGATTGGTGTCGTTCGATGTTATCGAAGGACCCACTCCAGCCAAAATTTAGACATTCAACGTGGACAGCAAGAGCGAAATGGGGATCGAGAAGATAGTTCTGCGTCAAAGCCAAAAGAAAAATTTATTGCCGTGTTACTGCTTCGCCCACAGAGGAAAGCAGAATGTTTGACTTCCCGGAAGCGAAAAGGTACGTGACTACTATACATGTCGAAACAGCGCCCCGTCTAACTCATGGTGCAGAGTTCGCCGTGAAGAGCTCAATGGGTCAGATTGTTCTGAAGACTCTGATGTTGAGTATGATGCAGTCCTCCGCGCACGGTTTGAAGCGCGGCTGGCAGAAACAATCAAGATAGGTCCCGCGGAGACGGAGACTCAGCCAGAGCCTGGAGGCTCGCGGTCCAACCATGGCGAGGATTCCGACGCCCAGATTGAGGATGGAAATGGGGAGCTAGAGTTCTGTCTCTTCGGGGGTACTGGTGCTGTGCCAACAAAGGTCGTGTTGGAGGACGACAGCGAATCAGATGGCGAAGGAGGACTGGTTCCAACACGGCCGTACTCATTCTATTTCCCGGGGAGACCTCCCAGGAAGTTACAAAAGGAATACGATTTCTCAGCTGTGTCTGGACAAGACGTCTTGGAAAGATCTCGCCAACGGTTCTGGGGAATGGAGTATCCTTGGAAAGTAACACACATCACCGCGACAAGAAAGGGTGGGCCTGCCGCCCATGCTAGCAAAGAAAACGAAGACCCAAACAAGAGGAAACGGCCAGGGAAAAAGCAACGAATTGCACTCAGGGTGAAAGCCAAGGAGAGGGCGGCGGAGGCCGAGGCGGCCTCGAAGCAAGCTGCCGAGAAAGAGGAGCAAGTTAAAGACAAGAAGAAAAGGATGAATCGGCTGAAAAAGCTGAGGAAAAGAGCTAAAGAGAAGGGTAAGAAGATCGCAGCAAGAGGGACTGGAGGCGAGGATGACGCTGGAGAATCAGATGGTGACTCGGCGGGAACTGAGGAATGAGCAGAAAATAATGTAATGCACTGTTGAGAGTGGAAGTTACACTCATACGTATCTAGGTATATCAAATGGATAGAGCATCCTACTTTCCCTTTTTAAAGATTCCTAAGTTCTCAAGGATTTGAGTGACCTGTCATGATATACCCGTACATTGAATCTCAAAATTTGCCCAGATGATGCAGCTGTCTCGAAGCCACGCGAGCTGAGCACGAATTCGTGGTCCAGGGCACTAATTTAGCCCACTATAGGCGATCCTTGGAGGTTCGGGTTGTTTCCAGTGGGTAGCCAATCAGACAGCCTTGTTCATACAGGTAGCTCTACAACTCACCAGAGGCTTAGCGATTAGGTAGCTAACAGCAATTATCCACACGCAGACGACAACATCTTCGAGATCGTCTGCGACACGGACTAAAATCAAGGCGACACCCACTCCATATATCGAAAACAAAAGTCAACCTCGGGACAACCATCGAAAACCACCTATGATCACGAGGTGTCATGGTGTAGATAAAATTGATACCCCATCGATTCCAGCGCCGTCATCATGAGCCCCCGCAACCACTCAACGTGACCGAAGAAACATATATGAAAAATGGAGAGACCATGGGCGGACGGAGCTGCGCCTGACCAGGCTCCCCTCTTCTCGGAGGAGGGCGATGTATCGAGGCCAGCGGGCGACGTCGCGGACGCGGGCGAATTTATAGCCATCGGTGCAAACGTTGAAACACCAGATCCTCCTGCTCCGGCCCCCCCAGCACGGCCTCACCTCCAGCGCAATGCGATGCAAGCTGCTCCCCCGGCTCCCTCGCCGGCACCGGATCCGCCGCAGTCGACGGCCGTAGAAGCGGCGCCCACAGACTCGCTGTCCCTCCTCCAGCTCCGCCGGATCGTCGCGGAAGTCAACCGCATTGAACAGCCCGCCTACGACTTTGAATACTCAGACATGGGGCCCCACGCGGAGGAGCTTGACGAATGGTTCAATTACCAGTTCTGGCAATGGTTGAGGCTGAACTCGGCGCGGCGGGCCTTTGATTGGCACTGGAAGAACGAGAACAACGCCACGTTCAAGACGTGGGGTGACGCCGACAACGATACCAGGGCGCGCTTCGTGCAGTCAGCTATTGCGGGTGTCCAGTCCAACGATGCAGCTCTGCGATCGGCGTCTATTGGAAAGCTGGTCTATCTTGTGCTTGGCCGTTGGGGTGATACTGCCATGTCAAATGCGACCAGTGGTGACAGCCAGTCTGTGGCCAGTATCTCTCAGTTACGGGCTATCAAGGCGGGTGTTGAGTGTCTTACCTCCCTCGAAGGCTTGCCGGTCATTTGGGAAGCGCTGAAGAATAGCTTCGAGCTTCATTGGTATGTGGTTCATTGCGTGACTCTCGCAGGTTATCCCTTTGTGACCAGTCAACTAATTGCCATCGTTTTAGGTCTGGCGATGCCCATCAGGGAAACAGCCCGCAAGAAGCACAAGATGAGCTGGTTAATCTCATGACCATCTTGTATGTTTGCATTCAGGAGACTCTCAACGATCCAGAGGACATGTCATCTGCCTATAACAAGCTACGTAGGTCCATCCCATGAGATATACAATCCAAGCAAGCGAAGAAGATTCTGACAACGGACTCAGTTGATTTAAACCCTTCCCTGGTCGACTTTATGATGACGGCTACATCCAAGCTTCGATGGGATGACCATAACATTATGCCCCATATGCAGGTATGTATTCAACTTGTTCCCGTGAATTGATGATTGGAAACTAATGTTGGCCTAGATCTTCTTACTCTTCTGGAAATCTATCCTGCTGGTTTTTGGAGGTAGCAAAGAAATGCAAGCCGTCAAGAAGGCCACAAGTGAGCAATTCGGCGGGCCGGCAAAAGAAACCATTACAGCATCTCCGTTAGACTACCATGTCTTTCGACAAGAGGTCACATCTAAATACCCGGCTTACATACCCCCACAGCCAAAAATCCCGTTGGAGCCAGAGAATACCTCTCTCCTACCCCCTTTACCGAACCATACCACACGAACCAGCGCGGCAAATGGCATTACACCGTTCAATACTAATGCCCAAAATGTTGGGAGCTCGATCCTAAATCAACCTGTTCACATTGCCACACCAGCCCCATCACCGCCCCCTTCGCCAGGAGTGGGCAAGGGAGGCAAGAAGCAGAACTATCAGACAAACCAGAATTTCCCGTTCATGTACCCTCCACTGGATGCCACTAGCAACAGTGCCGGCGGAAAGGGCATGTCAGATCTTCACGAAGCACTTGTTAGTCGCAAGTGGGAGGGGAGTGATATTCCTGCTTCAATCTTAGAAGCCGGAGAACTCTTCTCAAGTCGAGTAAGGATGACTCGTGCCACCAGACAGTTGTGGGAGGAGCGTGAAAAGTTCCTCAAATATGAGCGCGGCTGGGGCGAAGATGATGAGGAGGATGAAATCGACGACCTCGACCTCAATGAACTCTCACTAGAGGAGCGCGAGATCATACAAGAGTTGAAAGCGGAGGAGATGAAGGAGAAGAGACCACCCTCGTCAGCAGATTTCGCACCAGATTTCGGACCTCGACCTGAGCAGCTGAGTCCGAGAGACAAGCAACGATTAGAAGCTGTAGAGAAGTTCTACGTAAGTCATATATCAAGTGTCTTTCTCCCCTCTGAGAATTTCTGATCTAACTTCAGCAGCGAGACGCCCTTCCTCACCTCCAGTCACTAGTTATTGTGCTGCTGCGCCCGATTCTAGCAAACGTCACGGCGATTGTGTCACAACAACCAAATCAGCAACAGCCTGGCCAAATGGGCAGAGGTATGAACCCGGGAGTTAATGGCGGGCAGATTCCTCGACCTCAAGATGGCTCTCAGCAAGACATGTCGGACACATCGGGTGAAGATATCGACGCTGCACGAACGAGGGAAATCACATCCAAGGCAATGACAGCCATTCTTTTGCTTTTATTGAAATGGCTTAGACTCTCACGTAAGTATATGCTCTGATGGTTTCTATAGGGCTTTGCTGACTGGTGAATCCTTAAGACGTGCTGAAGTTCGAATATCTGACCCAGCTCTTGCTCGATTCCAATTACATTCCTCTGGTTCTGAAGCTATTCGCCCATCAGGACATTCAACAAGTCGTCGATAGCAAAACTGACCGGGTGGAAAACAGGTAAAGGCACATTTCTCTTTTGACAAGCATAGGCATAGCTGACAATGAAATAGTTTCTTCCACTTCTGTAACCATCGCTCAAAATCAAAGGAGGGTGGCGATGCTGACGGACTCCCCGACGATGAGGTTGATCTTGATGATGAGGAAATCGAGGACGGAAGCGAGGACGAAGCAGTGCCACCCCCAATCAAGAGGCGACCAAACGATGGCGAGGAACCAAAGGAGGAGGATCAAGGCATGGTCAGGCCCGAGGTCGATGAGCTCGGGTACCCGGTCACCAACCTACCAGAGGAGCCCATCACGGACTTTTCCCGCCGCAACTTCTTCTCCCTCATCAACTACCTGCGCGTCATGCAGAAGATTTGCAAGAACAAGTCGCACAGGAACCTCCTCCTCGTCCAGTACAAATCGTCCACCATCATTCGCAAGTCCTTGAAGGTGCCGCAGCCTGATCTCCGCCTCTACACGCTCAAGCTCTTCAAGGGACAGGTCCCCTACTGCGGACGCAAATGGCGGCAGGGGAACATGCGGGTCATTACGGCGGTCTACCTCCACTGCCGTCCCGAGCTGAGAGACGAGTGGCTCGCCGGGAGCGACATTGACTCAGACGTCGACTCGGCCCTGCCTCTTGAGCAGGCCCTGCGAGGGTTGACGCACTGGCACAACCTTCGGCGCTACCCGGATAAAATCGCCCCTGAGATACGATCCGTGATGAGGGAAGAGCATGATTTCTTCACGAGGGAGTTGGAGAAATTGGATTTCAACTGGGCTGATGTGCAAGCGGATGACGGAATGAGCGAGCTGGATCATGTGGAGGGCTGGGCATAAAAGTATTCAGTTGGCTTATGGATCAGCATCACCCTGGGCAAAGTTATAGAGAAGGATATGATCTAGAGAATAAGCAAATGTTTTGGCATTTCACGGCCGGGTGCTTAAGAATTCAAGGCACCAAAGTGTGGAACATAGTCGTACATGAAAAAATGGTTATTAAAACTCTCTGCTTCTTAAATTACTACATCGTCTTATTCCAACACATATCCACCGGTTTTCATTAGTGTAGCATCAGGTATATACCATAGGTGTTTACCATCTCATCAATCTAGCGTTATCTTGTATATCATCAAACATTTTTCGCTCTCTCCTCCCCCTTTAAGCACGGTCATAGACGCCATCACCGTAGCGGTAGTTCTGGGGCGTGGCGGCAGTCGTTGTCTGGTGCCCGACGGCGGCGTTTTGGGTGGTGGGATAGCCGTAGCCCGTCTCCTGCTTGGGGTAGTCGGCGGAGTAGGGGTTGTGCTCGTTGCTGTGGACGGCCGTGGTCTCGGTGGCATAGCTCTGGCGGGTGTGGTCGAGCTGCTCCGGGGTGGTGTGCGCGGGGAGGGCGTTCTCCTCGGGGCCGGTCCTCTTGGTGCCACGGCGGAAGATGCGGTTGAAGAGCCCTCCGGAGCCGTAGCCCGTGGTGTAGTTGTTGTTGGGGCCGGGGCCGAAGCGCTTCTCCTTGTTGTGGTGGCGGGCGAGGGCGACCTCGGTCAGGATGGATAGGACAAAGAAAATACTATGGGCTGGTTAATATGATTTACTCACGTAGCTTAAAGTTGGGGAGAAAACTTACATAGCGATGATTGCAACACCGAGACAGGCGCTCTGGAGTCGGCAGGCTGTGTGGAAGCTGGGCAGCGCGGTGAAGCCGTCGCTGCCGTCGGCCTTGCTGCTGGACTGGCCCTTGCCGAACGGAGTGTCGAGGTATCCTGTGCAGCTGCTGGCGCCGTTCTTGTTGGCGACGGCGACGTAGATGAAGGCACCGATGAAGGCGACATCGAGGACGATGGCGATGGCGGAGGTGATCATTATGCCGGCGAGGCAGCACAGGAGCAGCAGCCCGATGATGCTGTACAGCACACCCGCTCCGGAAATTCCGGCGACGGCACGCACCTGGTTGGTGATGTTCAGGTCATGGTTGTGCAGCGCGGCCAGGAAGTAGGCGTAGACGCCGAGGATGAGTGCCGAGGCGAGGAGCTGGACGCCCCGGATGAACCATTGAAGGAACTTGAGGGCGATTCCTCCTTTGGCACCCATGGTTGCGAGATGTTTTGGGGGTAGTCTTGCTTGGGTTTGTGGTTTGTTGATTCACAGTCAATGTTGACGGGATGTGGGCGAGGTGGTGAGCTCCCGGGCGATTGGGATGGAGAGGACAAGGCTGTAAATATAGGGTTCAGGAACAGAGCAACAGGGTCAGTGTTAAGAGCAATTCTTAACGACCAGGCACAATGATTCAGCAGCTAGGAAAGTGTTGAATCTAATCGGGAATCGACGGCACTGCAAGGTGCTTTTAAGGATGACGACGCGGGTGACCATCTGCGGACTAATCGGCAGTGGCCGCAGGCATTACGTATGTATGCGCAGTACAGTACATGATCCCGTCGCAGAGAGAAACCTACGGTCCTCTTTTCGGGTGTGTTGCCCCCATGCTAGCACCTGGATAGTGCCAGACCAAGTGCCGACCGTCGAACTCGGCCGCACAACCATTTCCTGGTACGGTAGCACCAAGACTTGACCAAGACGGTGATGTCAAGCAAATCAGGTTACCAGGCCTCAGATGCAGTCGGACTGTGGCTGGTGATGACACAATGGGGCGGAGCCATGGCTGGGCTGCCTTCTCTGATTGGCCACGCGTGCACAGCCAACTGGAGGTACATGTACTAGCGGGCATGGATGATGTCAATGCGCCCCGCAGGTCCCTAAAGCCACAGGTAGATTACAGGGGCTTCTGGCGATGCTCGAGACAGCACGTTCCTGGTGCATTTGCCGGAGCGAAATCGAGTAACATTCTTCTTGGCGACATCCACGAGGTCTGGACAAGGCCACTAAAGGTAAGTATCTGCGACAAGTATGTGATAGAGAGCGGGTTCCACACTCAGATGATGCAGCCAAGGCCCGATCACCAGGTGTTTGTGCGGCGAGATGGTCCCAAGTGCTGCGGTTGAACGCCGCTAGCAGAGATCAAATCGATCAAACGTTGTTGATTTAATTTATTTATCTTTTGCTTTAAGAAACTGAGTAAAAAGAGAGTTCGCAATTGACGTCATGGTTTTGTGTCACCAAACAGTGTTTTCTTTCACCTCTTTCCTCCTTTCTTTTGCCCTTCCTGCTCTTCCATGGAAACCATCTCCACTATCCAGAAAGCATGCGCTCATGTGATTCAGACGGAATACAAAAGTACTCGGGGCATCAGCCCGACTCTGTTCAGGATGCGCCACCGAGTAATGTGACTGCAGTATAGCTTTGTTGGGGGTTCGGTAGCACAACTACATCAACGACGACGAAAGGCACACATTGATATCGTAAATATGGACCGTGAGATCAGAGCCGTGATGAAGAGGATTGTACCTACTGGCCTCCAGGAAGAGGATCCTTCCCGTGCCTGTGTCCGGAGGTGCCCCTCAACACGGTCCCTCATCCACTAAAGTGGTTGCAGGTCATTTTCTGCCCCGCAACGCGTCGCTCAGCTGAGACGCGTTAAGCCATTTCACCACAGACTTGACTACATCGTAAATTAGCACCCCAAAGCATCGATAATGGCAGATCCAAATGCAGAAGATGATCTCGAGGTAAATACCCAATGCTAAGCCGAATCATCACATGAGAAAGTAACTTTAATACTGATGTCTTGTAGCGGCTCAAGTCCGCCCTGTGGTACGCCGTCGGCCAGATTGTAGATGAGGAGTCCATCCGTCGCAACCGCAATGCGACGCCGCAGTACATCGGTGCCCTCACAGAACTCGTCTGGACTCAGATTGGTAAGAGCACATTCGTCATCAACAAGGAATAAAAGAGAGACGGGCGAGAAGAGAAGAGCCGGCAACTAACAGCAAGCAGAGAACGTCGCAGGCGACTTGGAGAGCTTCTGCAACCACGCAGGGAGGTCAACGGTGACTACCGACGACGTGATGCTTTTGGCCAGGAAGAACCCGGACCTGCATCAGATTATCCAGGAGTTTGTGGACGAAAGAAAGGCCAAGGCCGCGGCAGGCGGAAACAAAGGCACCAAAGGACGAGGGAAAGGGAAATGAACAAGTTAAATGACCGTTAATGACAACAAAATCCCGGGAGTTTTCAAGGATTCAACTCAATATCAGTCTCATTTCTATTTTTATAGGGAACTAAATTCGAATCTAACGCTCTAATGCCAAGGGCTGTTTCATTTCAGCCAAAGGCGAGAGTCGCCCATCAGCACTTGATAGTCGTCTCGCTCGCGTACGTTTCTCGGTACTCAGCCAGCAGGGCCAACGTCACATTTGCTCCTCCGCATACCTCGACGACGACGTTCTTCTTGGCCCACTCCTCATCTGACAACCCCTTTCCAAGCATCTCCCGCAGGTCCCCACGATAGACAGGGACCAGCGTCGCTCCGCATGCTACCTCAACCAGCGTGCGAGCATCATCCGCAAAGCGAACACAGCTGATGGCTGCATCTGCATCCGAGACGGCCATGCTCTCCAGGTTGCTGCTCTCCTGGCTCCATCGCCACGTCCGGTCGGACACGCGGGTGGCGCCGAGCGACTTGGCAATGGACGTGATGCCCGGCAGCGTCACATGCTCCCCGGTGCGGACGCTGGCGTTGAGGCTGTCCGCCCCCGTCGTCTCCACGGCGATGACCTTGGGCTTGGCGCCCTCGGGCCAGGAAGAAGCCGACTCGACGCCCTGCATGATGCCGTTGAGGAGGCCGCCGCCGCCCACGGAGCAGATGATGCCGTGGAGCGGCGTGTCGCCCAGCTGCTCCCTCAGCTCCGTGACGATGGTCGCCGCGCCGTCCCAGATCTGCGGGTGGTCAAAGGGCGGGACGTAGACGCCAGTCGGGTCGCGTGCGAGGAGCTCGCCGCGGAGGTGGGCGTCCGACTCGGCCCAGTTGGAGCCGACCTGGACGACCTCGACGCCGAGGGCGAGCAGCTTGGATATCATGATGGCCGGCGCCGAGGTGGGGATGACGATGGTGGCCGTGCAGCCGAGCGAGATGGCCGAGGTGGCACAGGCGAGCCCGGCGTTGCCCCCGGACGAGCAGTAGAAGCGGATGCCGGGAGGGCCAGAGGCTGCTGCCCGGACCATGAGGTTTCCCACGCCGCGGGACTTGAAGGACCCGCTGGGCTGGAGGTTGTCAAGCTTGAGGTAGATGTTGCTGTTTCTCGGGGGCGTGAGCAAAGAGTTGCTCAGATAAAAGGTCAGTTCAAGGAAAGAAATACATACCAACCAGCAATGCGGGAGAGCTCGGGGCTGAGAACGCATGGCGACTTGATCCAAGGGATCTTGGCACCTGCAGGCAGTGCGACCATTGTATTGGTTTTTTCTAGGCTTTCAGTCTCGTCTTGAAATCTCTTGGATCGGGATCAGAAGCCCCGGGTGTTATCTAGAGGAATAGACGTGAAGTTGGTGATCTGCTCCGTTGTGTGTGTGAGTGGAGGGGATGATGGTGAGAAATATAGAGACGTAACAGCAGCTTGTGGGACTTGGTCAGACGGGTAAGACATGCAGATTTACACGCACGCACGCACGCAAAAACGTCAAGATACGCCCTTTTATCTAATATCAATAGAAGAAAGACCCACGTGGGCTTCACACTAAGGATTTCGGCATAAGAATAGTATAACCTGGGGAGTTGCGAGTCATCTGTCAATCAAGGGTGTGTTCGGTATTTGGAGACCTGGAGGCTCCCACTGTCAGACCAGACGTTACAGTTGCCGTTGTCTGACAGGCATCGACTATTTTATCTAGATCAGCAGGATCGAAAGCCCACAGTTCATTGGCCTGTATACGGCCATTCACCTACCCAGTTTGTAGTAGACTCAAATCGGGCCGCTTCGTCTCACGCCCTTGGAAGACATTTGTTGGGTCAAAAGAGGGGCACGAATCAACGTGGCCGGAGGATTCTTCTCGAATAATCCGCCGTCCTTTTTCATAGCAATGGCAGCCTAGTAGTCAACAATGCTAAAACAACGTCGATTCTTTTACCCATGATCAGATATTTACGTTTCTACGTATAACGCATAAGGCAGTCGAGAACCACAGGGTTCTCTACGGCTTCACAAACACACAATGCGGGGACACTCGTTAATGAGAAATTCATGTTCAATTCATATGCCTATTTACTAAATTTTGAGTTTTTTTGTTTTACTTTTTTTCATGCTCAGTCGTCATAATCATCGGATGCCTTCTTCTTTCCCTTCTTCCCTCTGGGCCCTCCTTTGAAATGCTTCTTACTAGGCGTGAGCTGCACGTCCTTGGGATCCAGCCCATTTTCCAGCGCGACCATTGTCCGTGCCTTTCGTCCTGAAATGGCCTTATCCTTGCCCTGCTCCGTGTACTTGTGGTTGAAAGGCATGCTCATGTGGCCCTGTGCCGCCTTGGGACCGAAGAAGCCCTTGTCGATGCTCTGCGACTTGGGACCGGCAGGGAGTGGGATGAAGTCCGAGACCAGAGAGTCCGTGTCCTTGTCATCCTCGAGTGACAGAGCGCCAATGGCTGAGTTGAATGCAGCCCGGCGCTTCTCTGGGAGGTGGAGTTCGTCATAAAGCTCCTTGTTGAATTCGTTTGGCTCCCCGGGATAATTTGGTGGGGGTTCAACGTAGAGGAGCTTTCCGTTCACGTAGTCCTTGAGAACATATCGCGAAGCACGGGACGAATCTGGCTGTCCAAGACCTTGAGTTTGGAAGCCACGGGCAGTGGCATACGCCCTGAGGAACTCTTCCGCGGAAGGAATGCCAGTACCGCCCTCTTCAAGAGGTCGGGTCTTGATGTGGATGCCGTAGATGGCCTCGAGGAAAGGCTGGGGGATACGGAGGGTGATAAGGCCAACAGGGCCGCCGTACTCTCTCATTTGGTCAATAGGCAGAACACCGTTACAGACAAGGTCGGCCTTGGTGAAAGCGAAGTTGGGAAAAACAAGACCAGGGCAATCGCAGAGAATCACTTGGTCACTGAGATGGATCGTTTGGAAGTGCTTCGTCTTACCGGGGGTAGACGAAACAGAAACCTTCTTGGCGCCGATAAGGGCGTTGATGGTGGAGGATTTACCAACGTTGGGGTAGCCAATCAAACCAACTTGAAGCTTGCTCTCCGTTCCTGTCGTTAGGTCAGTATCATACAAGCATAAGGTACGGGGGCTGAAGTATCCTCACCTGCGTCCGTAGGCGCATGTCGCAAGAAAATGCCTTCCAACTCTTCAATGGTGAGAATCTTAGTGCCATCATCCTCCTCCTCCTGAGACTCTAGCTGAACTCCGCCGTCTTCGGCACTTTCTCCCTTTTCCTCCACAGTCTCCTGGGCAGGCTCCTTTCCAGCACCTTTTGATGAACTGGCAGGGACGTCATCATCTGATTCGCTGTCCTCTTCTCTGGCTTCATTTAGTTCCTTTGCCAAGTGAGCGGAAAAGAACTTGTACGCGATGCCAGCTTCCTTCAAATGATCGGCCCACGCCTTTCGTTGTTTGTATGACAACATATCAGCTTTGTTGATGAGCAAAAGATTCTCCTTCTTTGGGTTGACCTCCTTGACATATTGCTCCAGATCCTCGGAGCGGAAAAGGAGCGGGTTTCGGGCATCGACGATCTGAACCACGAGGTCCGATCGCTCGATGACTCGCCAAAGCTGTCGCCAGACCTCGAGATTGCGCTCGAATGGGGTCATCAAGAGATCATTGTTCTCCTGCAGCTCTGCCAAGCCTCGGCGCCAGTTGAGAAACGCCTCGCGCTCACGGGAGTCCAGCTCCTGGGCGGTTGTGGAGGCATCCCACTTGGGCCGCCGGGGAACCGTGAGTCGGTTCTTGTGAAGTTTGTGCTTTCCGAGGACGACGCGCTCCTCGTGCGCGGAGAGCAGGTAGGGGTTGCGCTGGTCCGTGTGGATGATCTTGACATTGTTCATCTTCTCCGCGGTGAAGTCGGTGCCCGCCAGCTCGGCGGTGCTCAGGAACTCGTCCAGCGCGCCCTGCTCGGTGACCGAGCGCATCTTGACCCAGGCAGCATCCTGCTTCTCGTTGATGAGATACTGCTCGCCGGTGGTGTGGTTCGTGCGCGCGACGGCGCCGGCCTTCTTTCTGTCTCCGCCTTTGCCCTTGCCGAACCGGTCGTTCATCAACGAGTTGCCCAGCCCGACGGTGTTTTTGGACTTTGGCAGAACCATGGTGGGCAAGTTGGAGTTTGGTCAATCTCTTTATCAATATCGATGAAGTGGCTTATATTCTGAGAGACGGGTTCGATAATTACACAGAAATCCAGGATAAACACGCGGCGAAATGGGATTTATTCAGGCGCTCGCGGGGAGATGTGACTGTTTGGTTTGGACTTTTTCCAGGCTGAATAATTGAAAATGGAGGGGCAAAAATCCAGCATCACATCATAGGTGGACGCTCGCACTGTATTTTTCGCTGCCCTAAAGTCGAGGTCCACAGTGCTGAGATAAAGGATAACTGTGCTAAGGATTTTCCACGACCCAGTATTATTTGTAAATGGAGGGGTCCTAGCAACCGATTGCCCTACCATAGAGATATGCAGTCTTCAGCATCGCGATGCTCCTGTTCAAATCTCTGGATATTTCGCAATGGTCATTTTTTACCAGGATCATAAGAATATGTTCTATAGAGAAACTTATACATCTTTGGCTCGTGAAATAACCTGGAATATGCTTCCCTTGCCTAATGGTCATATGTAGACAAGCGTGAACTCGTTTGGTAGCTTCAACTCTCCCAAAGATATCTCAAGAGTGAAGCCTGTAAATAATTTACCCAAGGTAGCTCACGTACTTCGCAGGTTCCAGGGTATCCGTTTATACCAACTATTGTAGGTATGGTAATTATTTTTTGTTCACAAACATTAAGTAAATGCTGAGATTGATGTTCAACCCCAGTCCTTTCTATCCCATTTCCGCCTACGCTGTCATGATTTTGACTTTGGTAACCTCCAGTGTTTCTGTATCAACCAGCACAATCTCTTTGGTGGCAGCAAAAGATGGCACTGTAATCAGCCGTACGGACTGGCCAGTCGGTCCGCTAACGACCTTGGTCCCGAATTCAGGCTGGCAGCCAACAAAGTAAAGGTGCGGGCAGTCCTTTAATACGAACGGATCGTCGTCCTGGAATGGATAACTCCCTAGAGAAAGAGAATCACGGTTAGCTTTGGCATTGTCAAGGTGTTGCGTAGTATTCGAGGAATCTCTTACAAAGTGTATCAGGGGCTGTTGGTGCGCAGCACCTCCATCGGCACATGGCCTCCATCATTCCCAGTCGATCTTCGCTGTTGACGTACTTGTAAACATCGTCAACATTCTGCCCTCCAGTACCTAATACCCTCCAGCCATCAATCTCTCCCTCCCAGGGGTTTGTAACAATATCCAGCCAGCCAGGCTCCTTCGAGCCTGGGGGGTTTGTATACTCTCTGGCGTTGGGAAACATCGCTGGGTGAGTTGGCTGCTGTGGATAGCTAGAATTTGCGGGATCCTGGGGCCCAGGCATAAGCGTCACGGGTATCGATGCTAAGATCTCGGCGAGGAACTCGTCGAATAGCTGTGAAGGAACGGCGTTGTATGCGCTGGCATCATATCCGTATTTCTTGTTCTTGTTCTCTTCCTCCGTGACGGGTTTTACGTCGCTCTCGGAGATGGAATTTCCAGCCACAATGAGCCGACTGATCTCAGATAGTTCAGACTGGGCATCAGGACTGAGAACTTCGCCAAGAAGAAATTCCAAGAGAAGTTCAAGTTCGAGAGCATAAGATGCGTCCGACCCCGAGAACGCCAAGCCTGAAACGATGGCCACCTTCTTCCTCTTGCCTCCAGTCTGTCCTGACATCTCCTGATCCTCGTCCTTTACTTTCTTCACTCCATTCCCTTGCGTCACTGGTTGGCCTGACAGAGCCCATCGCTCAGGCTGCGGAGGCAAATCGGGGAATTTGACATCGATAACTTCGAACTCGCCGTTGGAATTTTCCGTGCCCATGACCGCCATAATACAGCCCGTTGCCAATCCAATCTTGTGAAGAATATCGCCGACGAGTCGGACACGGCCAGAGTCATCCTCAAGCATGATCTCCTCGGTCTCGTCCTCCTTGAAGTATTTATGCACCGGGTCGGGCTTCGAGATCCACCTATCCTTGCTCACATCCTCGAGGATGTTGGGTTTGTTCTGCAGATTCATATAGACGGTGCCAACAACCCAGCAGAGTTCGCCCTGTCGTACATCGAGGGCTCTTTCCACCTGCTTGGCCGTCTCGTCCCCAATGACGGTGCGTTCCCAGGCAGCGGCGGCTACCTCCTCCACGGCAGGCTTGATTTTCGTAAGGCGCAAGAAGTACATGTCGCCATATTGCTGTTGGTACGAGCGTTGGTGGGATAAGTTGAAAGTCGTCAGAGGCTTGTACTGTGAGTCGGTACGAGTGCCTACGGAATGTGCCGAATCGCTACCGCGGCAGAGCTAGAATCAGCCAATTGTCAACTCGAAACTCGTAAAATCGTGACCTACGTGGGTTTATGGAGAAGACTCCCCGATACTTCATTGAGGGAGACCATGGCGGGCTGCCAGCTTTGCTATACCGTCTGTTAATAGCTGTCTTGTGAGCCAGAAATGTATTGGCAAGCTCTCAATCCGGCCTTGGAACTTTACTTTAGTGGACGCGACGCGTGACACGCGCTGGAGTGGCGTAAATTGAATGCAGGCGGAGTTGGCCGGACTTAGAAATTTAGCGTCGATGTTCATGCCCCGCCAACTTGACCTTCTCAATCGAGTGCCCCTCCTCCACAATTGCTGATGATTTAAAATCATAGACTTTTTAGTCGTTTCCTTTTTTTTCTCTCAATTCTTTTCCTATATCTTCTCATAAGACATCTTTTGGTGACTGGTTCACTCTTGAAGACCTAACTCGCTTATTCGCCATGTCTGCACCCTCCCATCCCCCCACCATCGAGGTCAACAACCTCTCTTATACCTTCCCCGATTACTCGACCGGAGTTCACAACATCTCCTTCGCAGTCCCTCCTCGCTCCCGAACGCTGCTCATCGGTGCCAATGGTGCGGGGAAAACCACCCTCCTGCGCCTCCTGGCAGGCAAGCGTCTCGCCCCGGGCAACTCAATCGCCATTGGGGGGGTCGACCCCTTCAAGGAGGGTCTCGAAGGCGTGACATACCTCGGCCTCGAATGGGTCCTCAACCCCATCGTCCGAACCGATATCGGCGTCAACGAGCTCCTGCGCTCCGTGGGCGGCGACGCATACCCAGACCGAAGAGACGAGCTGGTCGGCATGCTCGACATTGACACAAACTGGCGCATGCACGCCGTCTCCGACGGCGAGCGCCGCCGTGTCCAGCTCGCGATGGGTCTCCTCCGCCCGTGGACCGTCCTGCTGCTCGACGAGATCACGGTCGACCTCGACGTCCTCAGCCGAGCCGAGTTTCTGGCCTGGTTGAAGCAGGAGACTGAGAACCGCGAGTGTACAATCGTCTATGCGACGCACATCCTCGACAACCTCGCGGGTTGGCCGACACACCTCGTCCACATGCACGTCGGCACCATCAAGGAGTGGGATACGACCGAGAACATGCTCAGCACTCTGGATTCCTCCGCCGCGCCCTCGGGTAACAGCACGCTCGGAGAGTTGGTCCTCGGCTGGCTGCGGAGCGATCTCAAGGAGCGAGGCCCCAGAAGCCAGGCGCATCGGGGCCCCGAGGGGAAGACTTACGGCTTCGGCGGTATAAAGATTGGCGGTTACGGAGATGAGTCCAAGCAGAAGGAAGCTTAACTGACTTAAGCCTGCGAGGGTTTGGTGTTGATCACCCCTGACTCATCTCGGGGTCATCGAGGATGGCGCTCTATTTCATCATCTAGCGGCCGGCGTTTTGGGTAGGTAAGCATTTAACATGGCGGCATATAAGATTGGGAGGGGAGCTCCTACGAAACAGCGCACATTCAACGGTGCCAGGCGTTTTTTCATTTTTTTGCATACTGGGCGTAGGTGTTTCATCAACCTTCGTTCTACGGTGATATAATTCAACAGAGGTGCGAACGCAACGACCTGCGTCCGTCTGATACCTCAATCGCCATGATTCTTCTCCAGATAGTTTTGGTTTTCTCGTTTTCAACCATGATCATGATACCCTGAATTCAACCCATAGGGCAGGCAGTAAGCTAAGCTTCACTTACACAATACATATACATACGTTCATACGTTACGTTATAGCACATGAGTTCTAGTACCATCAAATAAAGAGAACCGCGCAAAAACTCCTGCGACCACCGCGAGATCTTTCTCCTGATATTTCTTTGATTGATCTTTGGATATCATCATTGAGACGAACCCTGGCTTGCGGTACCTGCTTGACCTTCCATCGTATTCTTCAGCACTGTCATGGTGGACTTGAGCAACTCCGCTACCCCTGGGAACCCCTTATCCGTAAGCCCATGCAGGACCTTGATCCGATACTCCTGCCAGCTCAGCTCCATCCCTCCGGAACTCGCGAGTCTAGCTAGACTCGCCTGTGTGACTGGCCCGGCATGCCTGGTGCTTATCGGCTTGCCCTGTGCCATCTCGTTGTCTTCCAGATCACGCACACTCTCTATACTCTGGTAGCATAGGACCGGGGAGTACGACAGCCCAAATAGGGGACCGAGTGACGAGCTGCCATCAACCATGGGAACGTACTCGGTGAGAACGGCAACAACCGGGCGAGGGATCAGGCAACCGACGGCGTTCGTGTCGGAGTCGCTGAACGCGCGCGAGCGCCAGAGACAGTTGCAGAAGTCCATGAGGAAGCCATTGTACCTGTTCACGTAGGCCCGCTTGTACGACAAGGCATCGTTCTGAGATCCGGTGTGCTGAGACCGGCTGGACATGGCCATCTCGAATCCCTTCTTAAAGGATGCCAGGACGTGGCACAGTCGAGACGTGGCCACGAGCGAGTTGCTGAAGAATGTCATGTAGATGAGGCTGGGGGGCGGCAGCTCGATCCTGATGTGGTTCCGGAGCCTTTCGTCCGATATCAGGCGGACAAACTGCTCGTAGAAGTCGAGAATAGCGGAGAAGGAGGATACGGTGGGCGATGACTGTGTGAGCGTCTGGGCGAGCACGCCCACGTGCTGTACGAGGGCGGAAACTGTCGAGCTGGCGTGGTCTGGAATGACCTGGATGGAGCAGAGTAGGGCGGACCAGTGACGGAGTAGTCTCGTGTAAAGGGTAAGCAGTTTCGCGTGTGATGAGGGATCTTGGCTCAGGAATGCGGTCTCTAGGGGTTGGAAGATGTGCGAGAATAATTCTAGAGGGCAAGGTTCATCAGAATCTGTCATTTGCTGAGTGTCTGTCCATACTTACTGTCGTATTCGTGGAGTGGCGTGTAGGCCACTATGTCAAGAAGCAAATCTCTGCGCCCTGCTCCATCCCATATTTCGAAAAAGCGAGCAAAGAAACTTAGCAATACTGGTGGAACGGTCTGATTCAGGGGTCAGCCAAGTCAATAGAGGGAGGTGTACATGCAAGTCTCGCATCTTACCTTTGTATGTAAAACAAACTCCCGAAGAACATCAATAATGTCCCAGAACGTGTCTTCATCGGTCCCGCCACTAATCACATCGTCAAGAACTGCTTGTAGCCAGTTCGTGATACGCTGGAACGCATCACCATTTGGAGACAATAAAAGAAGCTTTTGAAGTAACGGATCCGCAAGGACGGCTACCATCTGATTCGGCAGCTGGATCTTTTCGAGGTTCTGGGCAAGTTTGGTTGCATTTTCGACCTCCTCTAGAGTGATTGATTTCTGTACTAGAGTCAGTCGTTGCAAAGCCAGCATCTAGGGGGTGTGAATCACCTCCGAGGCGTGATATGTTTGCACAAAGGGTATCGCCTTGCGTCTCTGCCCTGAGTTAATTGGTCGATTTACACGGAAACCGTCGTACTGCGAAGGAGCCGCAAGGTCCTGCATAGATTGGGCATGGGCTTCCTGAATCTCGTCGAGTCTTGCCCGCCATATAGGATCGGGGTGCTTAAAGGCCGAGGCTTTGCCACGAACAGCTTCTGCGACGATAATTTCAGGATAATAATCCTTGAAGACGCGCAGCAGACCTATCAAAGACGGGTCATTGCCCGTTTGTCTCGAAAGGTTGAGGCTTGGAAGCAAATTGGGTCAGGATCATAGATGTGTATTACAAGTATATCTTGGGGCTCACAGGTTCTGTATTCGAAACGGCTTGACATGTTTTCTCCTTGTAACCAATGCTAGCAAGTGGCTCAACTGTGGCCTAGATGGCAATGGCTTAGCAATGGGACGGATACTTCACTCAACGATGGGCGTGAAAGTGAAGGGTCATACCTCGTTGCCGCGGTATCAAGAAGGCAAAACAACACCTGGTAAGCTTGGGAGAGGAACCCAGGTGACTCAAAAACGTGATAAACGAGGATGAGCCACCGCAAAAGCGCAGCCTGAATATTCAGAGAGGGTTTCAGACGACCATGGCCGAAGCTTCCCACCACACGCAGGCCAACATCACGCGAGACCCGAGCTGCTGGATAGAGATTTCTCGCAATTGCGGCTAAACTTGCTTGGTCCAGATGGTTAGGAGTTATTACGAGATCGATCAGGTCGCTTAGCGCATCAGGAAGCAGGCCATGCTCGTACGCTGCCGATGTAAGTTCGGCGACAACAGGCTTGATGTTTATGGTACGAGACTTGGGGGGGAGCTTTGAGGCCTGGACAACGTCGGCGATCAGCAACCGGATGTTCTCATCCCTGCCAGATGGCGCCATGCCGGACTCATGGAGCATAGAACGTCCAGAAGCAATGAAGTCCCAGCACACAGGCTCCGGCCGAGAAAGTATGGCGGGACGCGTCCAGTTCGGAAGAAGGGCTAATTACGACGCGTCTGAGGCCCGGTACGGACTTCGGAGCGGGACGCGGGACTCCGCACAGCGCCCTGATAGCGCTATCAGCGTAGGCAGGCCCCTAACGGCATTACTAAGGCAACCAGGTAGGGTCGTACCTATCGAAGGGCCTGGGGCACGGTCGGAATTCCCGATTGCATGGCACAGAAGCGAATAGGAGCCCGGTGGAGTTCCGAGGTCCCTGTGCTGTGCTATGATGTACTACAATGCGGTATCTTGGGTAGTGGTCTCAACGCCCTACCGCCTGACGAGAACCCTGATTACATAGTGTGTATCACTTCTCAGCTGGGTGGATAAGACGACAAGAGCACTTCTCTCTTCTCGCCCGGATCGATAACTATCCACTACTGCATCCGTCCCTCCCTGCATACTACTAGTTGTTAGTATTGAAGCTGTAAGCCGGGATTGCTTTTTCCCCTTTAATTAACTCGCACTTGAAGCGAGGTCATGCAGGATCCTAACTAGAGTCACACAGTGCCTGCGAGTCCACACAACCAACCGGTCCCCCTCCGGCCATCTTGGTTGGCTCAGACAGTGAGCACATGCAATTTCTCCCTCAGCCATTTGCAGGGGACGGCACGTTCCCAAAGTTTGAGGTGGCACTTTCGGGGTGGCTTGGCAGCACCTCTGCTTGGTTGACGGAGCTAGCCATTACGTGGTAGTGCATGCAGCCACCAGGACGATAGCTGACGCGGTTACACGAACAAACGGTCGACGAGGCTCGTACAAAAAAGTATAATGGACAACCACGGCAGGGGTTACGGATCTGGAGTACCTATACTAATTATGGTGTTACGTAGTAGTCGTCCCCCCTCCTTCGGGCCAGTTGCTGTGCTACTCCGGAACCCGAGAGAACATGCCTGATAGGTTATGATAGGAGTCAAGTCCCTTCACCTCCGAACAATGGCACCCAATGAGTTTAGCTGGGAGGGCTGACCACATTGTTACCAGCAACTGGGGCAGCTTGGTTCCGGGAGCTAGGGCCTCCAGACATCCACTCCCACGGGGGGCTGTCTTTTACCTTGGTGGCTCCAAGAGACGGTCTAGACGAGGCGGGCTAAGGGTTGCTAGCCTGTAGGGCTAACGGCGGATCCCCATCAGGCGGCCAGGGCGAGCAAGGCAAATGGCTGTACTTAGTATAACGACTGAGTTGGGAGAGGAGCTGATGAGGGACGAAGCTGGCAGGTGTCCGGGGGAAACGCTTCTATGGTGCTCGGTGCCGGTCAGGTTCCGGTACTGACAGCACACAAGACAACACAACCCAGCATAACACTGCACAAGCTGCACACCTCCTGGCAACTTACCACCCTCCCAATGGGACTTGGGGAAGGTATGTGCTACCTAAGGTACTATCTAGCTGCTTATTAGGCTAGCTGTGTGTGGGTGATGAATTCTCGTCGACGACATTAAAACGGAGACCTGGGGGTCGCACCGGCCGTACCTGCCATCCAACCCGCGGCCTCACCACCTCCACGCAACAGGCAGGCATGCAGCAAGCATTATGCGGTCTGCACCTGCCTGCACATGCACATGCACCCTCCATCATTGCCTTAGGCCGGCATGTACCTACCTAGGTACACATCGGCGGTGGTAGTACAAAGGTTCAAGTCATACAAAAGCAGCTGGAGGGTGGCACCTACCCTCCATGAGTACAAGACTTAGGCCTGCCGCCCGCCCGCCCGCCAATCCACGGCAAGTGCCATGTCCTGATCGGGGCCCAGACCCTCCGCCGCTCCGGAGGTAAGTGAGAGCGAGTGAGAGCGCATCTGCCAGTACATACATGTACGATGACTGCAGGCTGCCTCATGTGAAATGGCGTCAAGGAACCCAATCACATCCACTCAATCTCATCCCAGCCTACAACCCCCGTCCTCACATCCTTGCAACTTTTTTGCTCAATCTAACCCACTCGTTCTGCGCCTCGTTGAGGTCACACAAACCGCCCAAATGGGCCATCCATCCCTGGACCGGCTTTGCCTGGAGGGCAGAATTCCGAACCTCAAGGCGTCAGCAGCGTTCATCTGCCATGTTCCAAACCCTGGTCTATCGGCCAACTGCCATGTCCCTACTCGTCCAAGTCACGACCACCCGCGCATCCCGTGCCCCACTGCCTCATCACTTCTGGCTTGAGACAATAAGCATTCCCTCTGTTCAGGCCGAAACTTGGCAGCCAGATATCTGTGTCACCATGCCAAAGGTACCTGCCCATCCGAGGAAACAACTCCTTCTCATCCCACCATGGGACAGACTAGTCCGATCAGATAAGGGCCATCCAACGTAATGAACATCACACGATCCTACCTTGCCAATCATCGAGCTTGGTAGCTTCGTAAATCCGAGTTCAGTTCTCTCAATTTCATCACGATTGCATCTCTGACCGACACTTTCGTGGGTCCCAGCCCGCCCGATTTGACTCGAAATCACAACTTGGGCAGATATTTTTCGCCCCAAACCGCCAGCTCACTGAGCAGAGAGATTCCTACGCAGTGGTCCAGCCCCATTATCAAGGTCTCCATGAACCAAGCCAGGTCAGCACCATGTTCTCATCGTACATACACTCGCCTCGTATTTGAGACGACATCGCATACTTCGTGGTGTGTCTGTATCTGAGGGAGACACCTCTCTTTCCCCTTGAGAAGCTACTAGCCTCATGCTAGCCTCCTTGAAGGTAGGGTAGTTCGCCATCATGCTACCCGCAAACCTCTCGGTTGTCTCAAAACCCTTGAAGGGACTGTTGCCATATCACCCCTTCACCCTCGGTGAAGCCTGATCGGGCAATCCTCCCAGTGTTCATCATCTCCTTCGTTCATCCTGGTTACACCAACTGTTCGCTGTCCATAGCCTAGTCGTTCGTTTCCTCCCAGCGTGTAGCTGACAATTGCCAAGTACCCTCTAGGCCCTCATCGATTCATAGCCGTCCGTGGATGGCACGCCAAAGACTCCAGGTTCCTCCAAGTACTTATCCAGCTCAGCCATGCTACAAGTGTTCCAGCCCCAGCATTGATTGCTAATGTACCCGGCAGAAATCTACGACAACAGCACGCCGATACGTCTATCCACTTTCAGGACTGCCACCGTAAGTACCAAGATTGATTTCCCTTATTCGAATCCCAGCCCACCTCCGTACACTACGCCCTATAACCTGTGTGCTACCATACCTCGTTTGTTTGTTTATCAATCCACTTTGGTGTGGGTTATTGGCCATTGCATACAGCATATCCATACCTACATATGTACAGCCAAGTCGGTCGGTTGCCAATTTTTGCCCATTTACCCCCACTTGACTTGCCTTTTGGAAAGATGGCACAGGGATTGCTGGAGTAACACGCCATGTGCGCAACTGCGAGGTGCGGCTGGCAAGTTCGATCCTGTCTCTTCTGGAACCAAAAATTTCCGGGATGCGAGTTTAGGTTCATCTGCATCTCGGGCTTGGCCTTGACTACTTCAGAACCCGGCCCAAACGGCGAGCATGTAGACAAGCTCCCACCTCAGAGCAGGAGGTCCCTTTTCCCTTCCGTCACCAGTCGCATGAGTCGTCTACTCCACCACATTCCATCAGCCTCTACCTTCTCATAGGACAAGGAAGCATATTGACGATCTCTCCACTTAGCCTGCTACCCTTATTTAAGTCTCTGGTCTAGACTCGATCAAGATCCGATATAGTCTCAGGACTTCCCCCCCACAGGAGCTTCGACATCCACACACCAGCCCGATCCCTTCCAAAGCATCTCATCTCACACTGAAGCCTTCGAGGCTTTCATAGCGTGGGCCGTTGGCAAACCTTCAGTGTCCCATTGCATGTTCAGCCGCACAGCACGCCATGTGAGACGAGTAGGATGTCAGATATAACATTGTCGACGCGACAGATAAGCTCCCCGGCTTCGTCTACTCCTTCAGCAAAATTGTTGTGGGACCGCCAGAACTGTGTGCCTTTGGACAGATGCCTATCCAAAGACGATATTATCCTTCTCCTAACCCCGCTTGTTGTTCCACCAGAGTCCCAAGTTGATAAGACAAGCGATCCTTTTGAGCCTTTAGGCCGATCCCTTGCCACCAGGCATCCTGCAGTCCGTCACGTTCCCTATACAAAACAGGACGGTATTACCGGGGTTCACATTGCATTCATTAAGAAAGCAGACGTTGTTATATTTGTCCTTACCGGATATTCAGACGACGACAAAACACAAACGGAGCTGGCTGACCTAGTCAACGAAGCCTGTGACTCTCGGCCACTCATCGTCGTAGCGTGCTGTGATCTTGACGAGCAAGAGATCCAAAAACACGATTTCCCAACTATTATTCAGACAACCGGCTTCTCTGCAATCGACATGCGTCGTATCTCTTCCGTTCTGCTCGACGGGGAGAGCGAAAGCGAGGCCTCAGGTCCTGCTCCCGGCCCTGCCCCGGATCCGACTCCTATGGCTATTTCGCCTCCTTCTACCCCTACTCCAGGACCTGTCCCAGCTTCTGCCCCGGATCCTTCGATGCCCCAAGCCCCCCAAGCCCCCGCCGCATTAGCAAGCAGGCCTGCTTGGTCTGTCAAAAGGTGGTCGCCCGGCGATATCCCTGAAATGCATCGTTTATGGCTAGAGAATGTTCCTGCCAAATTTCATATCGACCGGGAACATTTTGCTTTGTTGATAAATCGCCCAGATTACGCTGTACATCACGTCGTACGAGAACCGAGCCTGGGTCATTTGGTCGGCTACTGCGCGGCGTATGCAAATGTTAGCGACAGCAGGGGGGAAGAGCTTATTGGGTCCCTAGCAATCATGATTGTTCGACAGGACTTTCGAGGCTTGGGGATTGGCCAGGTGCTGCACGATACGACTGTCAGCAGTCTCAGCAGAATTCGCGGGGTTCGT